AAAAAAAAATAAAAAAACAGAAATGCCTCAAAATGTAAGAATTTTAAAGCTTTAAAGCTTTTTTAAAAATTGTAGAATTTTTTTTTATGAAAATGTTTTGAAAAGATTTAACTTCAATATGTTATATTTCTTCATGAAATTAGAGCATTTAAAGAACTTGTTATTTTTCAGCAACATCGTAATTTCACATCATGTGGGTCAAAGCTGAACATGTTTGATTATAAAAGTATGTTTCTCATGAAATTATAGCATTTTGAAACCTTTTTTGTTAGAAAAAAATTGGGGGAATTTTTTTGTCATTTTAATTTTGCATGTCACGTTGGTTAAATGATAAAAATTACATTTTCAAAAATAATTCTGCAGGTTGCTCATTAAATTAGAGTATTTTGATAAATGTTTTGATAAAAAGAATTTGGAATTTTTTCTCAAAATCATAATTTTTCCTTTCACTTTCTGAGATAGTGAAAAGTTTTGTTACAAAATTAAAAATTTTATCTTTTTGTAAGTTTTTCATCAAATTAGAGCATTTTGAAAAATGTTTAGAAAAAATGTTTTTTGAATGTTTTTATACAATCTTAATTTTGCATGACATTTTTGTTTAGATTAAGAAAAATGATGTGCGTGTGCGTGCGTGAGTCTGTGTGCGTGTGCATGTTCCTGTACTGTATGACTTGTGCCAACCTTTTCCTCATAAATATTGATGAAAGATGGTGAAAATCATTGCAAAGACAATCGGTGTGTACAAAAATGCGAAGGACAACTTAGGGTTAAAATGCTTTTGTTGCCCAATTTTCATTTTTATATCAGGTTGATATTTAAGGTGAGTAAACTGTCATCACCACTGCACACAACCAAATGTGACCTCTGTTTTTAACACACCACCAAAGTGAACAGCTTTAAGAACCAGGGAGCAGTGTGTGGGGACGGTGCCTTGCTCAGAGGACCTCAGTGGTAACTTGGCAAACCTTCCAGACCCAAGTCTGCTGATTTGATTTATGATTGAAAATCATACATCAAAAAACAAAAATAAATTAAAGAAAAAATTAAAATAATTAAAGAAAAGGTGACAAGAACAAAAATGAGCCAAAAAATGGTTAAAAGGGAATAAATGAAGAAGAACGAAAAGGAGTAAATGAAGGCAACTGCAAAAAAAGTAACAAAACACAAAGAGTTGGGGGATTGGGGGGAGAGGAGTAAAATTAAGAAATCTGACTGCAGTTATGACATATTAAATTAAAATTTAAAAAACTAAAAAAAAAACTACAGTGTTTAATTTCCTTGGTGCATTTTACATTGTTGTACAGGTTGTTAATACACATTGAGCCTATATAGGTTTATATATAATTACTGAAAATCTGTGTCCCAGAATGCAACTGGGTATGATACGTTGTGAAGACACTTTCATTTTGGTTTAAAATGTATAACTTTATCGGGTATCTCAAATATCTGCTATAAATCTCTCAGCTACTTGGGTTTTTATAAAGGTATAATTATTTGTTTTTAAATAAAGAAAGTCACTATAAAAACGTGGTCAGTCTCCAACACCAGCTTAAAATAAACTCCTTCAGCTCAGCGTTGGTGAAGTTGAGTTATTGTAAATTTAAGAAGCTTTTTTTAAGAACTTGAAACATTACCAACACAACTTCATGCGGTTGGAAGTGACGTCACTAATGACTTCGGGGCTTTACTTTACTGTGGAACAGAAGAACAGGCCTTTACTGTCTGTTTGTTTCAGTGTTGGTATTTTAACGACAGTCATTTGATTAATATTAATGTCGTTGCACTTCTTTCATATTTTAGGTCCGAGTAACGTTTTCTCTCTCTGACGTACGACGAGTGTGTTGGCGGGACTTCAACAGGAACACGTGACACTGGAATGTCGTCACTATTTAATGTTTAAATGTCATTTCAACTATTAAATGTAATCTTTGCCTTTTTTACAAGATACTGTGCAAAAACGTCTCGTCTTTACATTTTCCTTTCCCAGCTACACTTGAACGCACCACGGCTACTTCAAGTATTGGAATATGAATCATTTAACAAATAAAACGGATTTTTTTAAAAGCCTATAAGTACAATAAATTAAAATGAATAAAACTGTAAGACAAATGCGTATCATACGTGGTAAATAATTATGTTTTCTAAATGTATGGTCTTTTAATGATTAGCTAAAACCCATTTAATAAAATATGATATCTTGCTGACCAGTATCAACGCTAGTTGTTCCTTTAAATCTGTTGAACTTTTTCAAAAAAAATTTATTATCTTTTTCTTCAAAATCCAAAATCAGAACATTATGAACTATTTGTCGGCAGCAGCTCTGATACGTCAGCCCCTCGCGGTTAGATCTTTCTCTTGTGATTAACCAATCATCATCAATCAATAATTATTAATATGTCATCATTATAGGTATTTTTGGCCATCAAAGACATGGAGACATTTTCACATCTTTTAATTCCACACATTAAAACATCTTCACTTTGTTTCTTTACGTCTTTGACAAAACATAAATAAATCACCGGCCTCACTTTTGTCCAGAGAAATATATTTCCTTTAAATTTCACAGACGGACATGACGTCACCTCTTGACTTTTGGTCCCATGATGATTTTATTTACAAAATCTTTTTAATTTTCGTCTCATCGTCACAGTTTTTTGTTTTATGTTTTTTTTATGTCATCCTCTCAGGATGAAAAAGTCAACTTTAATCCTGACTCAGTTCCAAGGATTAAAGTGAAAATCCGCACAGAACAGAAAAGTCCGACACGTAATTCAAGGTGCGATGACCAGACCTGTCAAAACCCACTAATGAAATTAAAGATTAATTTTGCCACGTCACTGCCTCACGTGACACCGTCAGTCTGTGAAATGAGCTCAGTTTTTTGTTGTTTTTTTTTTCATATGTTTTTTCTTTGTAGCTTTTCTTCTTGTCGGAATTTGACAATAAAAAGTTTAAATCAGTGCAAATCAAAGAGTTAAATAAAAATCAGAGCAAACGTTAGAATCGTTGCTTTGATGAAATAATAAATTTAAGGTCACGTGACTGAGCGACTGTCGCACTTGATTCAGCCTCAGTTTTGAACCGTGGGGAATCGAACGTCTGACCTTTCCAAAAGTGAAAGCCTTCAGGTGGCTCGCTGTCCCTCTTCTATGGTCTGTTCTGCTCCATCTGTTGGTGCTGACTCCTGATGGCAAAGCGGCTCACGTGAACCGGAATCGGTACCACGATCTTTGGGTTCCGTGACGGTTCCCCAGACTTGTTGTTGACGTTTCCGGCCTTGACTCGTTTCCACTTGGCTCGGCGGTTCTGGAACCAGATCTTGACCTGCACCTCGCTGAGTTTGAGCGCGTGCGCGATCTGTGAACGCTCGGTGAGTGACAGGTACTTTTTACAGTGGAACTCCTTCTCCAACTCCAGCAGCTGCTCGCTGGTGAAGGCCGTCCTCCGCCTACGGTTCTTTCCTCCTCCTGCTCCCCCTGTGCTGCCGGCCGAACCTTCTCCTCCGGCACCGGAGCTGTGCATGTGGCCAGCCTCCTCCGGCCCTCCTTCTGCTCCTCCTACATCTGCATCCTCCCTGTGGCCGGAGGAGGCGGCGTGGTCCGAGTCGGAGCTGTAGTCCAAATCCGAGTCCAGCGAAAAAGACTCGGCTTCTCTGCGAGCTGCGAGGTTCTCGTCCTCTCTGGAACCGTCTCTCCTCAGCCTGACTGTGCAGACGTCACACACAACACGCAGGTCAAATAATCGACTAATTAACGAACAATTTTATCAGTGAGAGCCGCAGCAATATGTAGGTTTCAACAATTCAATCATGTAAATATTTTTAAATAAATTCTGACATTTTGCATCATTTAAAATATTTATTGCGCTTTTTGTCGAAATCAATAAAAATACATTATTATAAATAATAACTATATTAAAATGATACTCAATATTTAAATAAACAGTTGTTTTTGAGGTAAAATGTTAATATCCTAATTAAAACCCTTCGTTTTTGTAATGCTGTGTAAAACCGTTTACATTAATAAATACAAACCAGTAGAAAAAGAAAATAAATTATAAAAATTATTTACAGATTTAGTGAGAACTGGAAAAAAAACACATGAACCACTTTACAGATTTAGTGAGAACTGGAAAAACACATGAACCATGTTTGTTTTGACAGGTCGGTAAATTAAAACCCTTCACGTGCGCGTTCAGCCCTTTTGAAGTCAACAAGGACGCGCATTCTCTCTGTTACCTTCGTAATTTCAAAGCAATTATTTATTTTTTTAACATATTATAGTAATTGATCAAAATGTCAAGAAAACGAATCAATTATTGAAATAAATGTTAATCATTAGAATAAAAAACTGATAATAAAGATTTAATTATTTAGAAATAAATAAATCATATCTCCCTCTTTTATTAAATAATAAGGGTAAAATAATTTCATTAAAATCCGTTTTAATGCATGGGTTATAACACTTTTTAATAGTTTTAAAAACAGCCATTTTGATTAGAAATAAACTGACAGCAGTTTTGATTTTTGCGTCATTTTTGAAATAGAAAAGACCTTGAAGGCCTCGCGGTGCGTTTACGTGACTGAGCAACTTTAAAACATTTTGTCTACAAAACAGCTGTGACTGAACTCTTTTGAATAATTAAATACATCGTTAATCAAATCATTATATATATATATTTTCTGTTATTGTTATTTTGAAATGATTTGATTAATTGTTTTTCCCGCCCTCTCTCAGGTCCCGGATCTAAGTCTGGATCAGTTTTCCGGGTCCAGCTGGATCAGGACTGTCCGCTTACCTGAGTCCACATCCTGGAAACTCTTTCCGTTCTCCGTCTCTTGTGTTTTGTCCAACACCAGCTTCCTGTGCGCCTCCTGGTCCTGGCTCTGGTTGATGGTCTGGTTCTGGTTTTGGTTCTGGTTCTGGTTCTGGGGGTGGAGGTGGTGGTGGTGGTGATGGGAGCCGGAGAACCCGGCCATCAGCGCCAGTCCGTGCGTGATTCCCTGCGCCAGGCTGGAGCAGAAGCCGCTCTGCAGAGTCGGAAGGTGCGGATGGTGGGAATGGAGAGGAGGTGCTGCAGGAGCAGGAGCGGGAGGTGGCGGAGGAGGAGGCTGGAGGAGCACGGAGCGGTAGGGCATGAACATGGCCGGGTAGCCCGGGTAGAGGAAGTGACCCGGGCTGCAGGACTGCGGAGCTCCGCCGATCAGGGAGTCGATGCTAAAGGCGCTGCGCTGCATCACCAGGAAAGAGGAGGAGGCGGAGGAGGAGGTGCTCATAGAGAGGAAGAAAAGAGGAGTCTTGGAAGGAGAAAGAGGAGGCTGCAACTCAGAGAGGAGCAGATACCGCAGCAGGAGCACAGCCGCGGTGTGAGCGCCTCAGTTTAAACCAATAATCCCATCAAAAATGTTAATTCCAGCAGATTAGGAGAAGAAAAAAGTCAATAGATAAAAATAGGTTTTAAAAAAGTTAATCACTTCTCTTCCTCTTCGTGTTGGGTGATAACGCAGCAGCAGCAGCAGCAGCAGCACTAACATCAGCAGCAGCTCCGTTCGCGGCTTCTCGGCTTTAACTTCCAGGAATGAGCGACCGAGACTCTCTCAGTCTGTGCGCGTGCACGTGGAAATACCTCCTGCTCTGTGCGCGTCCGCAGGGCTTTGGCCTTTAAATTGCGCTCCCTTCACTTTAATTGCTCTGCCTCCTCTGAGCAAAGCCACGCCCCATTTCAGAAGGCTCTGAGATACTATTGGTCGGGTATTTGTGACGTCATGTGTCTGGTCTAAATTCTGAAAACCTTTTTCATAAACTTCAGCAGAAAGGATCTAGAAATAAATTTAAATTAATCTGAATAATAAATAAACAGCATGTCCTGTTACAGGTCCAAATAAAACTGATTTGTCAAGATCAATATGATCAAGTTTTGACTTTGAAGGCAACAATAAAAGTATTTAAAGCTAAAGATTAGATAAGTTACAAAAATGTACTTTGGTGTTAGATTAAATCCGACCGGATGAATTATTGGCCAACAATTGCTAAAAGTTAACCATCGTTAACAGAGAATAAAAAATGTTAGCTAAACGCTGTGCAGACATTTTCCAGCTGAAGCTAAGTGCTGGTCATTTAAGTGCGATATTTAACATTTAATTTGACAAACATGTCAAACTTGACCATGAATACTCTTAGATACAGTCCCTCAAAAGAATGTCAAACTCCTGGCTAAAAATGAGCAATTATTAACCAAAATACAGTCTAAAAATGATGAAACAAAGCAAAAGTAGCCTTGTTAGCATAATAATTATTCACAGTCGTAAAACATAATTTTAAAAAAATTAAGTACAAAGTCAGGTGAGAATATGGCTAATTTGAAGACCAGTAATATTTAAAGAGAAACCAAAATATTTAAGATAAATATTTAAAAAGAGAAGGCTAAAATTAAAGACATAATTAACTTTTGGCTGAAAATGAAGGCTATGTTTTATATAATTTGGTTGGTCAGAAATATAGCAGTTAACTTTAAGTTTGCCACTAACAGCCATAAATACAGAATAAAATAGTCTTTATTGTCATTATAACACGGGGGTACAACGAAATTGAGGATGTGTTTGCCAATAGTGCTAAGAGCTCGACAAGATATTGATTAATGAACACGTCAGCTGGACACCAGGTCATTAGCATGGAGTGCTACAGCTGAAACCTGTCCAGTATTTTCTAAATGATCGTCCACTAATGGGATCAAAGCAGTGGAGGAGAAAAATGAGGAGCAGCTCCTTCTCTGACGATGACTACACCAACAGGACCAACCTTGAACTGCTCTACTGTGGGATCTACTGTCACTCATTTAAGCCTAACGTAACAAAATATCATTAAAACAGAATTTAATTTTACACATGTTTATATAAAGTGTATAATACAAACATGTTAAGAATTTATTATTAGCATACTCTACCTTAGCTTACCTATCCTTACTTACTTTAGGTTCTTACTGACAGATGTCAAATATTTTAAGATTCTTTAAGAGAGAGAGAGGGAGAAAGAGAGAGAAAGAGAGAGAGAGAGAGAGAGGGAGAAAGAGAGAGAGAGAGAGAGAGAGTCAGTGCTGGAATGAGAGAAATGACACCAACAGCTGCTGTTGAAGCTGCTGAGGTGACGAAGGTCTGAAAACAGGCCGGCTGAGTGGAGGTTCCAGCTGTGAGGAGCTGTAATCACTGTTATTAGAACTCGGGCCAACAGCTATTAACACGTGAAGACTCAGCCTGACCTCTGACCTCTGAACCCAAACCATAAAACCGAAACCTTAGTCCGGGACAGAAAGTGACATCTGCAGTTTTTTGGGCCGGCTCTGACTCATCGGTGAAACCCAGTTGTTTTCCTTTCACTTCCACTATTTCACCTGTACATTACAGTTGTGACTTCTACATCTGCTGACTTCATCATCACTGATGACATCATCAGCAGGAGCCGCTCAGATTTTGCCCTCGCTCATCCCCCTGATGACATCATCACCAGAGTTTTGGTGTCAGGTGAAGTTCAGAACAAATTCCAATGTGAGAAATGGAACAGATTTTTAATTTCTGACTCTGGTATTAGACCCTTATGTGATGAAGATGGTTCCTTCAGTCAAGACAAAAGATTTCAAGAGTGGCCAAGACTGTAGCTTCAGGAAACGTTAGCCCAGTGTTAAAATAGCTAAGGCTTGGCCAAATATATTAGCCTGAAACTATCTTATAGCAAAGTATGAAAAAGTGAAACAGCAATTCTCTAAAACACAAAAAATATTATCTAGCCTTTAAATAATCATCGATTCGCCTTCTGAATAAAAGCCAAACTAGGCCAACATTTATTAGACTAAAAATAAATAAAAATAAAATGATAAGAATATGCCTAACACTAATCAGATTTTCACCTTGAAAGAGAACAAACAAATATTTACAACAACAACAGTGAAGTTGGACAACGCTGTGTGTGGTGAAGGTGTCTTTAACACTTGCCATAGATGATTGGAGCGCTGGTCTGGTCTGGTCTGGTCTGGTCTGGTCTGAGCAGCTGCTAATGTTGCTAATCCACCCCCTCACAGCACAACTAGCAGCAGGTAGGACAGCTGCAGGTTTTTACTACGAATGGAGTGATGACAGGAGAAAAAAATATCAGTTAAACCTGCAACATGGAACTTTGAAGACGTCAGCATCTCTATTGTTAGCCCTGTGTCAAACATTTGGCCTCAATATCAAATCTGGACTGAGACAAAGCAGCGAACACAGAGAACATCTGTGATTTTTAGCTCTTTTGACTAACTTCAAGTGGAGATACTTTTGTGTCTAACACTTAACTAATCTGACATTTTTAGTCAAGTCAGTTTTTGCTATGCTTATTTTAAATACATACATATTTATGTTATGTTTTCCACAGTGTTTACAAGATCTATAATGATATCAACATACAACAAATACAATTTAAATAAAAAGTGATGTTTATGGTGACACAGAGAAGGAGAGCACCTACCTTTGTTTTCAACCAGCGGGCGTCACAACAGCAAAGTCCACACAGTGACTTGGTCCAGTACTAACCCCTGGTGTCAGTCCTGTGGTGGTAGCTCACAGACACAGCACCTGCTGATCCACTGCTGCCTCCATGAATACATTAAAATGGGTTATTTTGTGACTTCGCTATTGAAAAAAAACAAAAAAAAAAACCCCACAGGAGGCAGCAGTGGATCAACCCCTGGCTCCATGTGTCTTTTTAATGGACGGTTTGTTGCATCAGAGAACATTATTCAGAACTCAGAGGTCAAAGGTAAAGTAATCCTGGGAGGAGAAGGGATCGTAGTTGTTGGTTTGATATTGTGTGTGTGTGTGTGTGTGTGTGTGAGACCTGAGTGACAGAGAGGAGGGGCCACATGATGGCCATGGTTTGCAAGGTCACACTGGGGATTGGTTGTGTAACAGAAGCGGGGTCAGTAGGTGGGGTCAAGGTCAGGCGTGATGAATGATTCAGCCTCACAAGCGGCTTTGACAACATTGTTCACAACATTTTCATTAGATAATTACAACATTTTCAACATAATTTAACCTCTTTACACTGTAATATTTAAAAAAAGTATTTTTTTAAAAGCATTCTTTCACAAGAAGCTAATAAATATCTGAAAAATGTAAATATGTAGCAAACATGTGTAAGTCAGAACTGAACACATTCAAATGACTGAATATGATGTCTGTGTTATTCTTCTCTAGACAAAAGACTGCGCCATCTACAGGTGGGAGCCACACACTTGCAACATTTGTTGAGTTTGTGTAGTTGGCTGAGGAGAATGTGGAAAAATGATCTTACCCACTGGTGTGGTGTGTGTGTGTGGAAATGCTCCACGAGTCTTATGGTTAAGGACGCCCTCTGCTGGACGCAGATGACACTTGTTCCTTCCAACCCCATTGTCAGAGACACACAAAGAACACAGAGACTGAAGATGTCCTTCTAATTATTATTATTATTATCATCATGTCCAGCGATGACAATCACACACATTAGTCATAGAACAGGGTTTTTCAATGCCCTTTAACACCACCTATAGGCCTAGAAGGAAAAGTGCTCAATGATGCCAATCGATCAATACCATAATAATTACCCAAAAATGTAGAGTCTGGACAAGACGTCATCTTTTTTACTGCTTATTTATTCCATCAAGTTCATTAGAAAACGTTGACCTTTTTGGCTCTGACCAATGGAAAAACACATCATACAATAATATGACAAAATATGAGCTCTGGCCACGTGACATACATATTCGCAACATGCAATATTCAACACCTTCAACTGAATTATGTACACGTATATGTTTTTTTTAATCAACATTATTTTTTCTTTAAACCATTTTAATTATCACTGTATATCAAAAATAGTCTTTTGATCCATAGAGTCAAGGAAAAAGAAACATCAGCTGTGCAACATATTACAAGTGCAAAAAAGTGCCACTAGACAAATGCATGCATTTGTATAACACACTGTTAGGAACGAGATATTAAATAATGACAGATTAAACAAAACAATATTTGAAAAAAAAAAAGGTTTCAATCGTATAAGGAGTAAATCATTCAAAGTGGAATAATCTCAGGTGTTTTTTTTTCCATAAAACTAAAGAAAAAAGAACAAAAAAAATGTAATCTGACAAGAACTGGACATCTGTCGTCTGCAGGCCGTTGTTTTAAAGTAAGAGTTATCAAAGCATCGCATTAGTCATGTGTGGCTCAAAAAGAAAAAAAAAATCAATCAAAGTGGAATGTTGTACTTCACTCAGTTTACTAAACACACTCAATAACCAAACATATGAGGTTTAACTCATGCCTTAAACAACAACAACAACAACAACAACAACAACAACAACAACAACTACACTGAATGAAAATATCTCTGTTGCTGCGGAGAAGAACAAAGTCATGTGCACGTCTGTGGAATGTTGCTGCTGCTGCTGACATTAACTCAGCAGTGGCTACGGTGGAGTCAATAAATGATCCAGGAGACAACAAAAAATACACAGATACAAGAGTGCATTAATGTCCATGTCATACAAACACAACAACAACAACAGTCAGTGTGTGTCAGTGTGTGTCAGTGTGTGTGTGTATTACGGTCTCCTTTTCAAACAGATCAACATTTATTCTTATTCTTATTATTTAGTTACTTTTTTCTATTCTTTTTCTTACCTACAGTCTTTACAGCGGTGGTTGCTGTTCTGTCAAACGTTAATTTCTGAGATTTTCTGCTCTTCAAGATAAAAGTTAACGAAGATCAAAAATGAACACACACCAAATGAACACAACAACTACACCAAACTAAAAACAAAAGAAAGGAAAAGCTAGAATTTGTATTTACAGTATGTACAAATGAAAATGCACCACAGTATCTCCACCAAGAAAACACCACACAACAGGCTGCGCCGCCTCCAGACCTCATCCCTCAGAGTCCACAAAGGACAGACACAAACCAGTGTCCTGTACATGTTTTCACAATGTCTGTCAATAAAAAAAGTTCTCCTTCAATCCTCACACAGAACCCCAGCCTCTTTACACACATTTGCTCCTTTGACTCCCACTGAAGGAGTGCTGATTTACTTCCTTTATCCAATCAGTGACTGAATCTATCAGTGTCGCCCAAGAGACGTCAACTGAAGCTGAGCACCAACCATTTAATTTAATACCGTAATTACCACTTATAGTTTCAGTAATAACCTGTACAGATTCAATGTGAGAGTAAAAATGTCAACTCAGTGGACTTGAAGTCCAGAAAGGTCTCATAAAGACCAACATCATCGAGGTGACCCAACAACGTACGGATCATCTCAGACTCACAGGTGGACATAGAGGTTGACAATGTCAGGCTCATATTTGCAGAAACATCAACAGGTTGGTCTGTGGTTGACTGACCCTCTGACCAACAGCTTCTCTGACCTCTCCTCCCCCCCCGACACCCCCTCAACTAGCCTCCCTCAGGGCCTTGTCCTTTCAGCTCTGCTGTATCATCCTACAATGACCACCACAGCTCCACTCACTCAGACTGTCATCTGGTGAATACAGAGACCAGACAATTCTCCGACACAACCCTGACCAAAAACATGGGTGTAGACTGTCTACAGTGAGAAGCTGGTGTTTTCTCCTGATCTCTTGTCTCCTGTCGTCTGTTCTATGCCCATGTCTACTTTCCTAGGGATCATTTCCGGCTGTCAAGTGACCTTTGATCCCAGAGCCACTCAACTCCTACCAACCTACAGACTACTACTTAGCCTGGATAATGGTAATGTTTTAACACTTGACCAGTAGAGGTCAGTAAGGAGTTGCACAGTATGCGGTACTGACAAAGACAGCATTAGAGGATGAAGACAGGACATGTCTCCAGAGAGCAGCCACCACCTGGTTGTTATTATTATATTTATTATAATTATATTATATTTATTTTAATGACAACTTATCATTAAAAAAAAAATCAGCCTTTTTAGAAGATGTTTTTTTTTTGTGCTTAGTTTTACAGCAGGACTGTCAAGTCCCGGCACTGACATTTGTGTCAGTGTATGTTACATCATTATACGTCGTGTCCTGTTGGTTTACACTGATTGACCAATGACTAGTGGCCATATGGGGGTTTAGTGGCAATTACTGTAGTTTTTTTTAAATATTTGAGGATATTGTATGTATGTACTTTTAATTGTATAGCCATGCAGGTCAGCAATTTACAAAAACAAACTTTATGTTAATAGTGTAAGATTTAGTTACATTTGATTACATGTTTTAATTTACTGCTGATTTACTGTCTTATTTCTAAGACTTTTTCTTCATTGTGTTGGGTGTAAAAGGGTGGGGGTGTTTACCTTATTTCACGAAAATAAAGCCGCAGCTTTCGTCTAGATTTTACAACCAGTGACAGCAAAATACTCAATGTGGCTGTACTACTACAGTACTACAGTACATCTCTGTTGCAGAGTTCAGGTTTTTGGATAAAATGGAAAACGGTATTTTAAAAGAAATATTAAGCCACACATATATATATCATATATATATATCATCATATATATATATATATATTCTGTATATATATATATATATATATATATATACACTATATATATGTATATATATATATATATATATATAAAAAAACATCGATGGGGTTACAGCGTATACACGGTGCGGCTTTGTTTCCATGAAATACTGTAATATTGGACCACACCACACAACTTTAGATGTTTTCACAGCGAGTACCTCATCTTTTTTTTTTTTTTAGTTCCCAGCAGCACAGTCAACATTTCCTCTTTTTAACTTTTAAGAATACACATGAAAAAGCACATTAACGAGGATAAAAATTGAGAAGTTGCACAAAAACGTATGTGCATTTGCTACAAGTTAAAATTCAATAAACCCAGGAAATAAACCTTTGTAAATTTGGTTTTTATTTAGCCATAAAATCATCCCGCTGAACAGAGAGGGCAACTGTTGGTGCTGGGACAGTCGGGTCCATATGTACAGTCATTTACATTATACAAGATAATATTTAGATGTTTGTAAAGTTAAGGGTTGTCTTCAAGTGAACTGTGCCAAAAAAAGGCTCTGCACATTGAGCATGGACGCGAGGTCCAGAATATGTTTGTGTAGGAAGCTGTTCTCCACCGTGTCCTGTTTAGGCAGCTCAGGGTAGGACTCTGGGAAACTCTGGGACTCCTGGAAGTTGACAAATTGTCAATGTTGGAAAATGTATGTAATGGTATGGTATGGTATGTAACATTATGTTATGTTACCTTATGTTGTATTATGTTAGATAGTGTAATTTTATGTAATATTATATTCTTATATTATTTTATATTATATTATAATTAATAATAATTACTGTATATCACATAATGTTAAGTTACAACATCTACTGTTATACTCTGTTTATTACATTATATAGTATGTTATGTTATGTAATGTTACCTTCTATTAATAATGCTGTGTTATATGGTTATGTGATTTACTCCCATGTTCCCTTGCAGTATATTATTGTATCTTATCTAATGTTAGGCTGGGTTAAGTCACTCTACAGTAGGTTAATCCACATTAAATGGACTAATATACTTTATAGATTGTAGTGTTTTAACTGAAAACCTTAAATTTATAGTGAATGATAAATACATTAATAATAGATAAAAAGGTACAGTATGGCTGAAGGGAAAGGTTCAGGGTTGAAAGCAGCCTCAACTAAGAGTTTGGTTTTAGCACCAATGAAGGGGTTGGAGTTCCTTCACGTTTATTACTCTAAAGACATCTCCAAGCAGTGTTTCTTGTTTTTTTTCAGTTTGGGTAAAAGAAAATAAAAATCATATGGAACATGATCTAAAACCTGTTAATATGCTTATAATAATGTTGACAGATATTCCTGGGCCACATAATCTAAATGTATGGAGGGGGTTGTAGTTTGTGGTCAATACTGTGTGGTCAATGTCCTAATGGACCTTTACTGTACAGCGTACACTGTATACTGTAGGAACCTGATGTTTGCTCTGATTGTTGATGGTTGATAATGAGGGAGCCGTCCTCACACTTTGGCTCAACAACAGCAGGGACTCACCTGAAAGCGTTTATGCAGTCTGAGTACAGCTGAGCAGAACACAAAGCGGATCAAAATCAGTCGCAGAAACTCATCACCAAAGAACTGCAAAAAGGCCTGATCTGTGAAGAAAGGAGAGAACTAAATGAATATGAATCAGATGCCTCTTGCAAAGTTCTTTGATTCTGCAGGATGGCCAATCAGCAGAAATCGGTGCGAGCAAATGACACCAAAAACTGCAATCAATGCACCTCTGTCATAATTATTCAAACGTGTGTTCCTATCAGTATCACAGGCAGGAAGAGCAAATCAGTGGCTGCGGTGATACCTATAGTCTGTGACCTGGTGATCATCTGTCCAATGTCCTGGTAGACTTTATACAGAAACTCTTGAGCTCTGTTCCAAGATCCTCGCTGCACACTGTTTAAACCACAAACAGAGGTGAAGGCCAGCAGAGGGTTGTAGAGGAACAGAGTGAAGAGACTCCCATGCTGAGACTGATCTGAACAGGTGAGCAGAGTGACAGGAAGTACAGGGTCAAAACAGGAAACATGGTATTTTACATACAAGTTGTACAACATGTCCCCTTTAATGCCATTATTGCCTTTGTTGTTAAATCTTCTGTTAAAAAAAACATAACCTAGTATAACATCCAAAAATACCTTGGACACTTTTGGGATATGTTGTAGGAGATAACAGGCAGACCAGAGGCTGTCCAAACAGGTTTGTGAAATTCTGTAACGGAAAAAAGGAAATGAAGTCATCTCCATTTATAATGACATCACAGATGTGTTCATAGCTGGAGTCTTCCTCTGTGGGAAACTGCTGTTCATATCCTGACACCTTGTCACACATTAACATGTTCACTGTTGTCAAGTCAGTTATTATGTTACACACCTTGTAGGCCATGCTGTTGGAAGAATCCACAATGACAAAGAGTGGCTTCCGAGTGAAAGGGACTAAATCTCCTGGATGAAGACTGCAACACAGACGGAAATGTCAGAGGTGGACTTTAATTTCAATATTGTATTTATTTCAGTAACTTTTTCTCCCTGAAGCCACTTTTAACCTTTTTCATTGTTTTCCACAAATGATCCCATTTTTACTCTTTCCTTGTCAGTTGTCTGTTTATGCTAAGCTAATAAATGTGTGCACAAACAGTGATGCTATTTTATGTTACGTTCAGACATGAATAAGGAGAAAATATTGAGTATATTTACTAAAGAATTGCTTTATAAATAGTACGACATATAGTCCATCCATCCATCCATTTTCATCCGCTTCTCCGTTACCGGGTCGCGGGGGCAGCAGTCGCCACCCAAATCACATTGCACCATACCAAACCTTCCTGCAGGTGGTGAGTCCACTGGAAGATACCAACCGCCCTAACCGGGACTTAAACTTGCCCAGGAGGTGAACCCTGGGGTTCCACACCAATGACAGAGACATTGCCCCTGGGCCAAAGCGCCACTACGACATATAGTGTAAACTCTTTTTTTTTTAAGTTCTTGCAGGTCGCTGTTAAATGACAATATTATTAATGACCTTTATAACAATATGTAGTAAACAACCACAGCAGCTCACCAGTGCATTTCTTTCTGGGCCTGATTTTTCTTCTGCGTTGTTTCACCGTTCACCACATCTCGATTTGTATTTGTGAGAACTCCACCAAAGTCGTACGGGCCTGAATTTTGAAAACATAGTAATATGACATTAGTATTAACAGAAGAGAGAAGGGAAGAAAATTGTACCGTTCTCTATCAGTACTGGGATGCACAGAACTGTTTAAAGGTTTTTGCATCTTTTTTTATTTTTCATCTTTCTCACCACTTTCCCAGTATATCTGATTAAAGTGGGAAATGTAATTAATGACTTTAAGAGTCAAATTTTAATGTATTTTTAGCATATCCTTGGAAGCGGTCACAGGTGAGATTTTTACTTCCTGTGGCCCAGAATCAAGCTCAGTCTGTGGGAGGCTTAGCATATCCTTGGAAGCGGTCACAGGGACTTGGAAGTGCCTACTGGTGTGTGTGTGTTTATATATATATTTGTTTATAACATTTTTACCTTCATAGTCTGAATGTCCAACAGGAAACACACCGGTAGCTGACAGGTAAACCAGAAGAACAGAGTTGGCTGGCAATTCCTGGAGATCAGAGAAATGAAAAAAACCCCAAAAGAAACCTGTGTGAAGTTATCAGAGAAACGACTCATTCATCTCTAGGCTGCTGTGTTGCAGTATATATTAAGCAAATAGATCATATTTAAATTATGTCTGTAGATTCCCTCTTCTCTGACACTTCCAGTGTAATACTGTTGAAGTTTTTACCACGTATGAAAAAACATAACATTATTAGTAAAATGCTTCAAGTCAAAGTGAACACTGACCTTAAAGGAGGCAGACAGGAAGGTGATTAACTGGCTGAAAGTTGGTTTGTACAGCAAATACTTGTGAGGATTCTCCCGTTTGGCCGGCTTTTCATTGGGTTCCTGTAAAAATATATTTAAGTTATTACATATATTTTATGTCCATGTCTATATTTTAAAATGTGAAAAATATATGGGGAGAAAGTCACAAGAAAACGTAAACTTTTTTCTTGGTCTTGGCATTTTATTTTATTTTTTTATAGATCCAAAACCTTAAAAAAGAGCAATCAGATTCTTTAGAGTGGGTGCCAAGGGTCTCATTCCCATCATGCTTTGCAGTCACTCTACAGGTAATTTGCACTTTTGTCACTGTAGTGTAAAATGATATGGAATATTTCACAATATTCAACCGTGACACTGACAAGCAGTCCTTGTTTGGAGGTCTGTGTGGCCAGGTTCACAGGTTCTCTTTCCAGAGCTTGAAGCATCCTGAACATATCAATGGTGAGTTCACTGAACTTTACCTAGAAAGAGGAAAAACACTGATGTCAACCCAACTCTTTCCACTCACTACAGTCTTCCTGACCCTGTCTTTAAATCATGCTGCTGTTCTTCAGTCTGTCAGTTCCAGTTTTCCCTCATCACTTCACTGACCACTCATTGTGTGTCAAACTATTGATATATACAACAACTGTTCTTCAAACAGGAACTGTCTGTAGTGAAAGTACAGGATTATCTTTCAACTCTGGATCATTTTAAATGGGATATTAATGGTATATATATTCCATTATACATAAACATATACTCGTGTCTTGTTGTGAGTTACAACCTGATTGTTACAGTTGCCAACAATAAGAACATCTGCAAGGATGAGCTGCCCAACCACCATGCCTTGTTCCAGGGGGGGCACACTTCCTTCCTGCAGCCGACTGCTGATCACAAGAGCAGAATTGCTTTCATTCAGTACTACAACTGGATCTGCCTGTTTTTGCCAAATAAATTGAAGAGAAGCAACAATGAGTCACAGTCTGTCCATCGAAACTTGGCAATCACAATTATACATGGTCAGAAACCATGTGGGTGAAGAGGTCAGATGTGTTACATCTCAGCCTGAAGATGGATTACCTCAACAAAAGCCGCCACTTCTTGTAGAACCAGGTTCCACTCCACTTGATCTTCTGTGTTAAAGCGCCGCGTGTATTCTTCAATTTCCTCAGACAACTCCTGTAGTGACACAAACAAATGGTGAGATGACACAGATGTGAAATGTTTGTTCCTGTTATTTAATAAAAGAAAAAAAAGTCACCATGTTATTATACTGTATTTATCATTAAAACAAATATCTATGAAGTTTGACCACCACCTCTGACTAATTAGTGTTAGTGCCGAGCCAAGTTACACTAACGACTTATAGACAACCCATGAACAGGCCTAACATGAAAACTTCCAAGTGGTTCAATGATTCAAGGATTTGACTCCTAATCTGTCTGGTGAGTTTGCATATTCTCTGCGTGTGTGCGTGTGCAAAAACAAAAAATTATATGTAAAGAATAAAAGAAGTGAAAAAAATGCTTCCGTACTTTAACCAAAACTTTGACCAAATCCATCTTGTTAAGCAGTAAACAAACAACAATGTAGCGAGCGTAATATCGAAGCTTCTTCACCACCAGCTCTGGTCTGTAAAGGGAAAAAAAAAGACTTTGTTGAGCAAAAATCTAAATTAAACATAAATACAATACACGACATGTTCATCCAGGTCAGAGGTACAATTGATATTCAATGGAATTTTAAAAATGAATTAATTTACATTTTTAAGTCTAGCATTACATCTTCACACTAAGATAAATGGCACATACACAACTGAAATAAACAAATATAAATATATGACATATGCAATTATTATCCTACCTCTACCCCGATGATGACAAGTGTCTTAACAGTAGGAGCAGATAATACATTTTAAAACATTAATTGACCTGTGTTTGTGACAAGATTGTATCAAAGAAAACAAATATAAACATACCTATCTTCTTTGTTCACTTGAAAATAGTACGACCGCTGACGGATGGCAGAGTAGAAGGAAAAGGCCTCGTTCAGGTAACTGGTTTCAGATGTACGAAGGCTGTAAAACAAAATTGAAAAATATATTAGAAGAAAAAATTATTAAAATGCTATGAATGATAAATGCTAAAATAATAAAAAAAGTAAAAACTTAAAAAAAAAGTGATCACTGACACCACTGAAACCAGTGTGTTCTTAGCAGCAGTGGGAACTGTTCATGGTTGAGGTGCTGAAACAGTTGGACTTACTAATAATGATAGTAAAGCTGTCCGATCTTGGATGCAACTTCACCGATCTGCCATCTCTTTAAGCCGTACCGTCTGTCCAAGACTTGCCTTGGAGTAAATGTTAGAGCGCACACACAAATAAACACTGGACAGTCAATAAGCAGCGGATTACATTTCAAATCACTTAGCTTCCAATACATTTAGTTTTTATGTATATTAGTGAAAAATGAGCTGAAATGCATTACATTTCATCATACTGTCCATTCACATCACGGTGGAGCACAATGTCTTAAAAGAAAGTGAAGAAAACCTGTGCTGCTGCTGGAATTTCCACAGTTTGGTGTAGACATCGAAGGTCCGTCCAAAGTAGGACTGCCACTGCTTGTGTCCATACTGAGGGAGGTCTCTGCAACAAAGAGCAACATTAATGAAACACAACACCAGACTAAATCCTACACATCTCTTCATAATAATAATAATAATGGTAATGTTGAGGTGCCTAAGAATTACTGAATCTAAATAATCTGAAATGTGAGTCTCACATGAGTCCATGCTGCCATGTAAAAAATAACTGAGCTCAGAGCATTACATTAAAGTTATATAAATAAGTGCAAAATGAGGTCATCATTTAAACTATAATTGGTCGTGTGAGCTGTGTGAGATTGTCTTTACACGCCTTTTACACTCAGCTTTAGGGCCAATATTAAATCAAGTAACTTTTTTCCATTTCACAACAACTCTATTGTCTATGTGTGAAATACAGACTATTTCCACAAAGGAGCTCACGTGTTACTGACCTTAGTCCATTGAAAAGTTGTTTGGACTTGTCCAGGAGGTAGCAGAAATCTGTTACCGTTTTCCTCTCCCCCATCGGAACGCCATCTTCAGTCTCAGCTCCAGTCATGGCACTCACTTTTCACAACTAACAAAGGAATAGATCCTGTTAATAGAATGTCAATGGATGTAAACGTCGGGAAAGGATAAGAGACTTAGAATGGTCTGTGAGGTCACAACGTACAAACATGTAAAAATGATGTTGTCTTTTTTATCAGACAAAAGTGCTGATGGAGAAGTAAAAAAGGAATATAAAAAACGTTTCAGCAGTTTGGAGATTCATTTACAAAGACAAGGTGGAGTCCTGACACATCAACATCAGAACAGCATTCCTACTGTTTCTGCAAGGATCCTTTAACAGCAGTGTCAGGTTACCCCTGCCCACTGCACCTCTATGTGAGTGTAAAGAAAGTACCACAGATATTTTGAAAATCAGGTAACGAAAACAGCCGCTGTTATATTAGCATCTACACGTAGGTGAATTTTGATTAATTTCACTTAAGATGTAAACTCCATTGTGGTCAGTTTTCTTATAGAAGAATCATGACACTGCTGTTAAACTTTACTCCTTATAAAGACATGACATGGATGACATCACTACTGTCCATGGGTATTTTAAAAACACAATCCTGTTGCAGTTGATTCATTTTGTTTTCCACAGGCCGTACATTTAGGACAGAAACGTTGGGTACCACCGAGAACACCGTAACAAAAATGAAGTCGACTTCAACAGAGTCGATGAGTTAAGCTTTTAAACCTAAAAAGGTGTTAAACTTATGGCTGAGACACTTGAGGAGGTTTTTTATTCAGCTTACAGTAACATAACAGCCACTATTATTGTACGTTTGCCCCAATTCTGAAACAGTGGCAGAAATATTTAGGTACATAGCAAAAAATCTGCAACACGATTGCACATGCAGCATTAGCTTATAAGTCCACTCCAACTGCTCTCATTGGATGAGACCCCCCCCCCACACACACACACACACACACACACACATACACACAGGTGGCGGCTCTGAAGATAAAGGCCAGAGTTTATCTTCATGTTCTCAACCACAAGTCAACGTCATCTGGGAGCAGAAGTCTGCATCACCTCAGTCATCACTCTTATCATGTCACTCATCTTTCATCTGGCCCAGGATTCAGGGTCCTCACATTTAGCAGGTAATGTGACATTATACAATTCAAATGTCTGCGGTTCCGTCCCCAGTGTCGCTCACTCTCTGCTCCAGTTTTTCCATTTGTTGCCCCAGTTCTGTAGTCAGTTCCAACACATTAGTATTGAGACTTCTTACCAGGACAACTGTAGGCTCTTTCCACATGCCTGTCACCTACTACTGTCCTCACAACCCAGTGCACAGGTGACCACACTGCCTGTACTAAATGGCTGTCTTTTTTGGGTTCTTTATTTTTTTTATGCTTTTTTCTTTGCTTGTACATACAGTAACTGGTAAAATATTTTTTATTCTTTTATATTTATTTGTAGAATCATACAAAGGGCAGTTTGGCTGTTTGAGAGCATATGGTCCAGTTTAAACTCAAACCCTGAAGAAGAAATGTGTTATTTACTTTATAATTTAAATTTTACCCCATCAAATGGGGTAAAATATTCACTCTAAAAAAATGTACATACTAACAATAGTTACTGCTGTCAAAATGAATGTGTTAATCACATCATTTAAATTCAGTTGGTAATGTCATTTTGCATAGTTCTTACAAATAAAGGATTAACATATTTGGTCATAATTTGCCTGGAACCCATTTAGTTTGAAAAAAAAAACATGATAAAATCATATAAACTAAAAAACGTGAATCGTATCGGTTTGTGAGTTGAGTGTATTGTTACATCACTATTAGCCAATTAACATTTTACAAATAATTCTTCTGACACCCAAACAATAGTGGTGCAAAAACTGTATCTTTTCCAGATAAAGTGTGTAACAACAGTCTTCAGCACATTTGTCTGCAACATCAGTGTAATCTATCACGGAGAACATATTCAAAATGCATGCTCAAAAGATTTAACCAATCACAAGACTCCTCTGGACAGAACCCAGAATCAGGAAGAATGTGATTTTTCTACTGACACACAAGAACAAAACATGTCAGAATACCATATAATACACCATGACATGAATTAATATTGAACATTATTAAATAAATACGTTTGCTACGCTTTCCTACCGCTAATAAAAATATAAAACACAACAAGAACAACACTAGGCCATAATTCATATAAAGTCAAAGCTCCACTTGACCACAGCAGGTATGTCCTGTGTCTGTGTTTCCTAAAGGCTGTCATACAGACATAACTACCGTGCTGCTCTCCAGCAGAGAATAGTTGGGGTTTTTTATCACATTTACCATACACTTCAAGGACAAACTGCCCCACCTCAAATCATTTTCACCAGCTGCCACTGCTGTCTTGTTCCCAGCACCCCCCCACGACTGCTGGGATTGGCTACGGTTGTTTCCCGCGACCGTGAGAGTGGTCACGCGATAAAAGATGGAAAGAAGGATGAATGAATGGTTTTGAATGAATTATTACGATAATGACTTGGGTAAACCACTCAGGAGTGTTGGAATCAGATTAGCCTTAGCGGGTTGTGTTTTTCCATTGAGCTAATGAAATCAATCTGTGTCCTTTCTGGTCCAGTGGATGCCGAGCACAACTCAGGGAATAGAGATGGAACGATGACCTGAATGAAGAGGCTTTATCGACAGTTCTTACCTGGCGTCGCACACAGGAGCAGTGCAAAGATGCGACGAACTGACAAATCCCTGTCAGCCTCCGGGAGCTCGGCTGCACACACTCAACGCTGTCTCCAACTGCAAAGCGACAAAGCCGCTGTATGTATCTGAGAGAAGCGTGAGAAGATGATAGTGACTCAAACAGGCTCATCTGAGAACGATAGGCTATCATTACTTCCGGGTAAGTCTTTACACATTAAAAGTCCCTTTCCAATAGAGAGACAAAATAAAACAATTTTAACTATATCGATTATAATGATTTCTATTAATTAAAAAATAAAATCCAACCGTGCCTCTTGACACGTGCCAAACGATTGCTTCTGTAAATAACTAAAACATCTTTGGATTTCTTTAAAACATTTGGGCAAGTGATTTTCACGTACCCAGTCGGTGGCGTTCAGTGTTACTTAGAATTGTTTACTTTATACACGACCGTTTATGTCATTGCATCAAAAACTTAAATTTCTTGAAAACCATTTTTAAAAGCCATTGCTTTCGTTCTTCGTGCTTTTGTTTTGAAAGTAACTTACGGAAACACGGAAACATCCAACAGAGACCACACTCTGGCGGCTAGGTAGCGCACGCGCACAGACACAGCCCGCGGTGGAAACCTGGGTTTTACCTACAGTGTAGGTACGTTAGCTACGATTGACGTCATCAGTATGGCTGACAGGATGTTGAGCTGCTGTGCCGAAAGAAGACAATTCAGAGCACTTAAATGAGCATTTTACAGAATTATTTTTTTAAATTATTTGTTGTATGGTTCTTCCTTCTTTGTTCACTGGACAATCAACTGGCAGAAAATATGTTGACACTGGGAGGACCAGGTCCCAATAAGTATATAATGTTGGACAATCTTTTAGTACGAGACAGAATGACATGTAGGTCAGAAAGTGGTACCAAATCCTGATTACTCTGATTACATAAATTAAACATTTATTTGTATCTTAATCTAATCCAATGTAGTATTCAGTGAAATTGGCCTTTTAGAAGGCTATTATTAGTTAAAATCCAATCCCGTTCACGTAAACCATCACAAGTCCAGGAAAGTACTAATTTGGCTTTTTCATGTCAACAGGAAGAACCACAGACATAATCTGTCTTCAAATTGACTCTGTTGTTATGTCAACAGGTCCTCACAACACAATCCATCACCACTGGTAGTTGGAAACACTAAAGTGAATGACAAAAATACAACCAAATGTAAAACATGGCAGACAAAATGCATGAACATCACCAAGGATTGATTTCTCCTGTTGATCAAACTATAAACAATATGGGAGAAAAAGTCAACAGGACCTACAGTGTAAACTATTATTTTGACAAATTATCTGAGAGCAATTTGCCTTTTGGTGAGATGAAAGAAGATATGCAGAATGTAAGACATTTTGTGAAATTTTATTTTTTAGAAAAAGGAGAGCAACACAACAGACTACTGGTGTCTGTTAGAGGGGGTGTCCAGTTACAGCGTGGATCAACAGAGTGCATTGGTAAAATCAATCAGAAAAGGTTGCGAGTACCTGATAAGAACAACTTTTACACAATAGACAGAATGAAATGAAATGAAAAGACAGTTTGACTTACTCAGGGACAGCTGGCTGTCATAGATGAACCATAAGTTGTAGTATGTGCATCACAAGCAAACCATGAGCTCATGGGATAGGTTAGTCATGAAGCTGAAGAAGGAGTTCAACAAAAGTCACAAGTATTTGATGGATGGTTACCAAAGCAGTTCAGAATCATTCTGGCCATGGTGAGCCTTTGCTCGAGCAAGGCAGTAGTATAGCTGTGGTATGCCGCTTCTATGTGCCGAGCAACATAATGTTAGAATTCCGTTGGTCACCAGGAGAATCCACACATTCGTGAAGTTTTGCCAGTGTTCTTCTTTCTTTGATGCTTCAACAAACAGCAAATAAACTGATAATATTTTAACAATGTTTTTTTTTTATAAATTACATGACAACTGTGTTAATCACAGTAAAAATAGAAAACCAGATTATATATTTATAAACATTTATTTAAAGTTCCATACAAAACTTCTGTTTTCTCAGAGTTTTAGAGCGATGGCTTTAGTAACAGTTTCTAGGGATGATTTAGGACAACAAATGCATCACGAAAAACTGCACTGCTCTTTTGGCATTCCGCATCCAGAACTAAGCAAACATGTCATGACAAAAGAGCATGTTTGTTAACTTGACAGAAAGTCAATAGAAATGCCCCAGAAGCTAATCTGGGACCATGTTCAACCACCAAGTCGCTGTCCTTCACCCCAGGCAAAACCTCCAGGACGCTCCTCAGGGAGTGGGTTATAGTTGGCATCTTCTTCTGCAGTGTCAAATAACATCTTTCTGTTGGAGACACAAATAAGAGAGGTTTCTACAGATACATACAAATAAACCAGCCATATCCGGTGAATGTGAATTGTCAATTATTTTGAAGTGTGGTTAATTAAGTATGATCAATAATGGCTGATTGAACTCAATATGCTTAAAACCAGCTCAAACACAGAGCCAGGAAACCTGGTTTTGATCCTAATGATATACACATGTGTAAAAATATATATACATACACATATATTCGTATATATATGTATTCTTATACATACATACATACATAAATATCATATTTCACTTGATTTGTTGCCTTAAATCTCAGTTTTGGAATTCAGAAATACACAAAACCTGGTGAAAACATAGTAGTAAATTTTATAAAGTAAACTTTATATTTTAAGGTAACTGGTGCAACATTCTATGTAAGTAGTAAGTAGAAGCTCACATAATAGATGGAGTCTTGAGCCACCGTCCACCACCTGGCTGGTTTGGAAAAACATCTTCGAGGAAAAAATACACATGACCAACAGCAATACCTGAAGACAGCGGAAAAACGACAGCATTTATACCGGACTCCAACAGACTTGCTCCTGAGCAAAAATCTTCAAAGAAACATATTTTGTAAGAAAACATTGGTTACCTAAAAGGTCTACGATGACAGAGTTGCCTAGCAGAAGAGAGAAACCCATGAGCACCCAGGGAAGAAAGGGTGCCTGAAAATTTAACAGGCCAAAGAAGTTCATGCGAACATTTGGGTTTCTTCGACTCCATACGTAGACCAACATGATCGTGAACGCCTGGCCCAGGAACACCAGACTCACAAACGTTCCAAATATCTGACATTGTGTTAAGAAGACACATTCAGTATAAAAAAGGTCTTTACTGTAACCAAGTCTCACATACTGTTATGCACTGTTATACACTGTTATACCACAGTGGACTGCACCACGTTGAGATCTTTGTCATTCCATACTTAGTTGTGTTCAACCTTTTGAACCTATTTACAACATACTAAAATGTGTGTGTGTACTTCAGTGACCTTAATAGGTTTAATCTGTGTAGTACACTTTAATGGTGACCGACTAATGAATTGGACCAATTAAAGAAGGTAAACCCAGTTACAACAAAGTGTCAGGTCTGAAGTCATTTCAAGGATACAGTCATCAGGAGACCTCCAAAAAGGAACATGAAGACAAAGTCAGCTGTGCGTCCCCTAAAGGAGCCCTCTTCTAGCATACGACAGTATCTGTACCTGAAAACAAGGCTTAGGAAAATGTCAACATATTATGGTGTTTTCTTTGAAATAAAGTTAGTCAGAAATTAAAAAGTGAGATAAGTTACATTTCTATCATCTTCAGAGGGTCTGAGGTGAAGAACACAGACCTATGAATCTATACATTTTCTGTTCCATCTCACAAACATTCTAAAACAATGAAAAGGATACAGAAAAATCATATTGAAGAGGAAATTAAAGCCAACTGGACCAAAAAACAAGAAGTTGGTTATTAGTCGCCATACCTAGAAGAGAAAAAGATCAAATTTAGCTCTAAGAAGCAAACAGTGTCTGCTGACTTATGGTGGATGAGGTAAGACTTTTTGTTGTTACAATCTTTATAGAACATGACAACCCTGCATGACAACATTTAAAATAAAACAAAGATTGTTGAAGAGTATTGAATTAACGTGAGTAGTTACTCACTTGGTAATTCCTTAGAATCAAGTCAGGATTGAAGTACAGCTGAAATGGTGTGATGATTTCTAGTTGCTGTAAGAAAGAGATAAGCAAAATTAGTTTCAGTGTCAAAAGAATATTATTTCATGTTTTTTATATCTTAAGATCATTTTCATAATTTGGACTGTAACACGCAGATTTTGACTGGCATCTAAAAATTTTAAAAATTACTCATGTTTAGCATTTTTATTAGGTTTCACCATAACAATTATGTACATGTGTTCTGGATTGTCAAACAAAATCTGAAGGTTTTGGACCAAACAAAGTAAGAATTTAATTGAACAGAGAAATAATTTGTTACTCTGCTTATTCCAATAAACAATTCAAATCATGAATCAAAGAGGGTTGGATTATTTAATTTGAAGGTCTGGGAAACATGGATTCACATATTTCTGTTTTTTCACATATATACACAAACATCTGTAACCTTAGACACTAACACAGTAACGTCACAAACTGGGACATAAAAACACCTGAAGAGTCCGATTTACGCCTGGGAGTTACAATGAAGGGAGGCTTCATTCAATTAAGGACTCGTGTTTCCCAGCATTTCTTCTCAGGGTAAATAGAAATCTTTATTTTTACATGCTCCCTCTAGGGGATTTGTTCTGATGCAGCTGCAGAATATTTCCCGCATCACTGACTTGTTTTAATGTCGCTTTGTTTATCTATGATAGCACAGGATTTTCTACTGCCATACAGACCAACTTCCGTGCAGTTATGCAAACTTAGTGGTTTCAGCCATCTGCTCTCACACCAATGTTCAAGACTCTATGTTTAAATCAGTGACTTTAATGCAGATTGTGACAGGCCTAAATTCTTTACCACATTTCAATATAAAATATATTTGTTGCAAGATATAAAAATCAAACAAAAACTTGGGTTATTCATAATTATTTTTCTAAATATTCAACCTCGATCCATAAACTGGCTGCCCATACTTCTGCAAACTAAATGTGACTTATACAAACATCAATGAGAGAACAAAGTTACAAAGTGAAACCTGTAACACCATTTTCTCTCTTCTAAACTCAAGCACAACTGATAGTGAATTGTAACATTTTTATTGGTAGCATTACAGACGATAAACAAATATACACTGCCACGTAGAACAAGCTCCAATGACATCTTGGAAAGAAGAGTAAAGAAATGTGCGTTTTAAAAAAAAAAAGCTCTTCCAACCAGTGTACCGTGACAGTTTTGAGTTTCGATTTTAAAAACTAAAAGATGTTTAGACATTTCTTTCAGGTGTTTTAAACCACAATGAGATTGTGAGATTAGAAAAGGTTTAAAAAATAAGAATCTAAAAAAGGGAACAAAGAATAAGATTAACAATAGTTGTCAAGGTGGGATATGAAAGTGTCCTACCACTGTAGGAGGTAAATGTTTACAGGATGTGGTAATGGTTTCAATGTTAAAAGCAGCAGAATATACACCCTGAAGGCAGTAAGCATAGTGCACAAGAAAATATTGATAAAGAATCATGTAGAATTTTAGTTACTATTAACACTTTAGTGGAATCTTCTTCTTTTTCTTTCGGCTTTGTCCCTTTTTTTTCAGGGGTTGCCACAGCAAATCATTGATTTCCATCTTTCCCTGTTCTCTGTATCTTCTACTCTGACTCCAACTATCTGCATGTCCTCCCTCACTGCATCCATATATCTCCTCTTTGGCCTTCCTCTCTTTCTCCTACCTGGTAGCTCCATCTCTAACATTCTTCTACCAATGTATCCACTGTCCCTCCTCTGCACATGTCCAAACCATCTCAATCTGGCTTCTCTAGCTTTTTCTCCAAACCTTCCTGTCTGTGTTGTCCCTCTAATGACCTCATTCCTGACCCTGTCCATTCTTGTCACTCCTAAAGAGAATCTTAGCATCTTTAACTCTGCCACCTCCAGCTCCTCCTCCTGTCTTCTGCCTATTGCTACTGTCTCTAAACCATACATCATGGCTGGTCTCACCACTGTCCTGTAAACCTTTCCCTTCACCTTAGCTGACACTCTTCTGCCACCGATCACTCCTGACACTTTTCTCCAGCTGTTCCATCCTGCCTGTACTCTATTCTTCACCTCTCTTCCACAGTCTCCGCTGCTCTGAACAGTTGATCCTAAGTACCTAAACTCCTGCACCTTCACCACCTCTGCTCCTTGTAGCCTCACTATTTCACTGTTCTGCCTTTCGTTTACACACATGTACTCTGTCTTGCTGCGACTGACCTTCATTCCTCTTCTTTCTAGTGCAAACCTCCACCTCTCTAGGTTCTCTTCTAGCTGCTGCCTACTCTCACTACAGATCACAATGTCATCTGCAAACATCATAGTCCATGGGGACTCCTGTCTGACCTCATCTGTCAATCTGTCCATCACCACAGCAAACAAGAAGGGGCTCAGGGCCGATCCTTGATGTAGTCCCACCTCCACTTTGAAGTCTTCTGTCCTCCCAACAGCGCACCTCACTACTGTTGTACTATTCTCATACATGTCCTGCACCAAACTAACATACTTCTCTGCCACTCCTGACTTCCTCATACAAAACCACAATTCCTCCCTTGGCACTTTGTCATATGCCTTTTCTAGATCTACAAATACACAATGCAGCTCCTTCTGACCTTCCCTGTACTTCTCCATCAACATCCTCAAGGCAAATATTGCATCTGTGGTACTCTTCCTAGGCATGAAACCATACTGTTGTTCACAAATCTCCACTTCCTGCCTCAACCTAGCTTCAACTACTCGTTCCCAAATCTTCATTGTATGGCTCATCAACTTTATCCCTCTGTAGTTGTTACAACTCTGTGCATCACCCTTCTTATGAATTGGCACCAGAACACTTTTTCTCCACTCATCAGGCATCTTGCCAGTCTCTAAAATTCTGTTAAACAAACCAGTCAGGAAATTTACTGCCACTTCTCCTAAACACTTCCATACTTCCACTGGTATGTCATCAGGACCAACTGACTTTCCACTCTTCATCCTCTTCAGGGCTTTTCTAACTTCATCCTTTCTAACCTGATCTACCTTCTTCCTACTAGTCTCTGGCTCCTCGTTTCTACTTTCCCTTTCATTTTCCTCATTTAACAACTCCTCAAAGTATTCCTTCCATCTTCTCAGCACACTTTCCTCACTTGTGATCACATTCCCCTCTCTGTCCTTAATCAACCTCACCTGCTGCACATCCTTCCCAGCTTGATTTCTCTGTCTCGCCAATCTATACAACTCCTTTTCTCCTTCCTTTGTTTCCAAACTCTCATACAACTCCTCATATGCCTTTTGTTTGGCCTTGGCCACTTCCCTCTTCACCTCCCTTGTCCTCTCTTTGTACTCCAGTCTGTTCTCTTCTGTTCTGTCACTGTCCCATCTCTTCTTCGCTAATCTCTTTCTCTGCACACTCTCCTGGATCTCCTCATTCCACCACCAGGTCTCTTTGTCCTCCTTTCTCTGCCCAGAGGACATACCTAGCACCTTCCTACCTGTCTCCCTCATCACTGCAGCTGTAGTCTCCCAATCATCTGGGAATATCTCAACACTACCCAGAACTGCCCTTACTTCCTTCCTGAAGTCTTCACAACATGTCTCTTTCCTTAGTTTCCACCACTTGATCTTCTGCTCTGTCTTCACTCTCTTCCTTTTTGTCACCTCCATCGTCATTTTACACACTACCATCCGATGTTGTTTGGCTACACTCTCACCTGCCACCACCTTACAGTCTCTAATCTCCCTCAGATTACATCTTCTACATAGAATATAATCTATCTGTGTGGACCTGCCTCCACTCTTGTAAGTCACCCTATGTTCCTCTTTCTTTTGGAAATATGTGTTTACCACAGCCATTTCCATTCTCTTTGCAAAATCTACCACTGCCTGTCCTTCTACGTTTCTCTCCCTAACACCAAACCTGCCTATCACTTCCTCATCTCCTCTGTTCCCTTCCCCTACATGACCATTTAGGTCTGCTCCAATCACCACTCTCTCTCTCCTGGGGATACTCTCTACCATCCAATCTAGCTCCTTCCAGAACTTCTCCTTTTCTTCCAACTCACAGCCCACCTGTGGGGCATAACCACTAACAACATTAATCATCTCTCCTTCTACTTCTACCTTCACACACATCAACCTGTCTGACTCTCTTTTCACCTCTACCACATTTCTTACATATTCTTCCTTTAGGATCACCCCTACTCCATTTCTCTTCCCATCTGAACCATGATAAAACAGTTTGTAGCCTCCTCCAATGTTTCTAGCCTTACTGCCCTTCCACCTGGTCTCCTGCACACACAAAATATCTACTCTTCTTCTCTCCATCACATCAGCTATTTCTCTACTTTTCCCTGTCATTGTACCTACATTCAAAGTTCCAAACTTCAGACTAACACTTCTATTCTTCATCTTTTCTCTTTTTCTCCTAACCAAACGCCCTCCTCTTCTTCTCTGTCTCTGACTCTGTCTCTGACCAACAGTAGTCCAATTTCCATCAGTGCCCTGTTGGTCAACGGCACTGTTGGCGGTCGTTGTTAACCCGGGCCTCGACCGATCCGGTATGGAAATCGTTTTATTGATCTGCATATTTGATTTAGCTAAACGTTTTACGCCGGATGCCCTTCTTGACGCAACCCTCACCATTTATCCGGGCTTGGGACCGGCACTATAAACACGGCTTCGTGTACCCTAGTGGCTGGCTTAACACTTTAGTGGAATATGGTCTGCTATATTAAAAATCATTCGTTTGTGACAGACTGTGTCTGATGACTCTGTAGCTGTTACGTGATTAAGTTTAACTATTACAGCTTCAACACAAAAAACATTCAATTGGACTTGAAGACTTTGTTTAGAATAAAACCAACATTCTTAAAAGACAGCCTCGTATACTGACAACTACACATCTCACAGCTGCTAAAGCGATAGCGTCGAGCTAGCAGCAACACTACGACATTGTACACTACTAACACTCAACCACGGCTTCACAACACGATGGTAATGAGAGTCAGTCTTACCACAGCGGCAGTGGTGAGAACACAGGCGGTAGTATACGCTCTTGTCACAATGGGTATCTGTAAGTATTCCGGCTGTAATGTTTGGTAAGCCATTTTGAACACTGAAAACACTTCCGGCACTTCTATGACACGTTGCGTAGCCTTCTTTTTTATTGGCAGTTGGCAAACAGCTCTTTTCTGCTCTACCGCCCCCAACTGGTGGGGAATGAAATATAGTCTAAGGTGCTGCCGTTGATTCACCTACCACCACTGCTACAGTAGAACTATTTTGAGTAGTATTACTACTACTGCTGGTAGTAGTAGCACTATTAACATTACTGCTACTACTTATACTATTATTGCTAGTACAAGTTAGTGTAGAAAAGAAAAACGAAGTAGCAATTGTTTTTGGTACCATATTAACTCATACATTAAGCAATGTCTCTGCTCAGGTCAAAGCTTCTCTTTGTCTATTAAATATTATTTTTAATTCAACAAACCTTAGAAAATTGCCTTTTTTCTTCCTACACCTTTGTTTTGATTAATTCATTAACCTTGGATAAAGCATTTGACAATTATATTACTACACATTTGTACTAAGTACAAATTACAAGTGAAACTTCATGATATGATTTCTTTCTGGTTTCCAAATTACTTGGAAAAAAACAATTCTATAATCACTCTTTTTTTCTACATCCCATCAGTCAGTCCACTTGTTTTTTGGATTTAAAATAATTGTCAAATACTAAACAAAGATATGCTGAACATTTAAAAAAAATCCATATTCAAGGTCAAAGAAGAGTTAGTAACGTAGAGACCAACTCACTGTACTTCCCAGGTGAAACAGTCTACGTTTCATTTGTTGGCTGATATTACAAACACTCCTAAGTGTGGATTATGTTTCGATGTTGTTTAACATTGGTTTTTAAACATTGTTTGAAATTGATTTTTCCCATGAAGTACAGTACTGGACTTTTGATTTGGTTTTTAAATAAATATGAATATACAAAGTACGTAGGTTTCCTGATCACACACAGTAATGAAATACACAGATCAAGGCTCTCAGTTGCAAAGTAAAGTCCTATTTTGAGGGTCAGTGGTTAGAAGTGTTTCAGTGAAATAAATGTATAAAACAAAAGTTCAGAGCAACTAGACAGTTTTTATTCATACAAGCTTTCAAATACAGTGTTCACAGCCACACTGTGTGCCATGCTCATTGTCAATGGTCATGATCATAATTCACACAATTTAGCCCCCGGAGGTACAACAGCTTTTTTTGCCACAAGACCAATTTCATGTGAGATTCTATTTTCTTAACAGAATTTTTAATGTGTTGTAAATAAAACAAGGCGAAATACAATAAAATAAAACATGAACATATATATATATTTATATATATAAAGTGCATAAAAATACATTTCACCGTATTGCTGAAAAGGTTGGTGCCACATATTATGCAGTGTGGATTTAGGGTCTGATAGTTCCCCTTCATGAGAAACCTGTACTTTCAGTATAACTGTTCAACACAGCTTTTGATTGTGGGCTCAATTTTTTTGGAAGGCATCACATCAGATGCAAATTATCCAGACAAGTCCTGGATGGATTAACGGTAACTGGAAGATAATCTAACGTTATTTCATAATGAAACATCTTGCACAATAATAACACTAAAATGAAAATGTTTTTTTCTTGATGGTCCTGCACCAGTCTGGGGCTCGGTGGTTAGGGGCCGCTCACATAGACCGTATGCTTCTGATAAAGACCTGCTAGTAGCACTCAAGACCATGAACTCCTTATGACACTTAATGCTGATGTCATTGATCCAATTAGAATAATTGTCCCACAGACATCCATGCATTCTGCAAAAAGTAAAATTGTCCGAAGTAGTTGACAGCGACTTTGAGGCGACTTCGCTGGCAACTCAATCATGGATCATCACAAACCGTAGACCAAAAAGTACTGTACAAAGCCTGGCTGGAACAATGTCACCAGTGGAAGTGGCCTGTGAGATATTTTCAGTTCGTTTTGTACAGTGGTGAAGATGTTCTTCATCTTTATATACGGCACATGCTGAAAGCATCCAAGAATTTTATATGAACTTTATTTTTCAATGGAAGTTTATATTTCTGTCCAATTGATGAGGGTTCTTTGCTGAGGGAAATATGTGATTTAAAAATGTTTTTGTCAGTGTAGGCTCTATCACGGCTCTTTATGTTCATAGGTTTACGTTCACTCTCAACGGTGGCTCATTTTTGCACATTTCAGCATTCAAAGTCTTGGCAAACTTTTATCCATTCTCCTTCCACAGTACTAGGTGAATGCTATGATCAGGCATGCTGGTCGCAAAAACTAGTCCAGAATCGTTTCCTCCATCTAAGCCATTGAGCCACGAAGTCACACCTGCCAAGGAGCTGGAACCACGTTTGGATTTCCTGTAGGTTGGTAAAGGCCAGCGTCCAGAGATCACTTCTGTCCTCAGATCCATCACATACAGAAAGTGGTTATCAAAAAGTAGCGCAAAGATCTGGCCAAAGCTGAGCAAAGACAGGTTTGCCGGGTCCGGTGTCTTTATCACCCTGGAGAAAAAAAAAAAAAGTAAATAGACGAATGGATGATTCATTGGATATGTTATTATTCTTTTATATTACACTTTATTTCTGCAGCGACCCCCCCCCCCCATCAACACATTCACAGCTATTACCTTAAAACTTCAATGAACTTTATTAAAAGACTATAATTTCTTCATAAAAATATTTACAAATCAGTGCAATTTCTCAACTGTGGCAGATATAAAGTAAAAATAAATTATAAATAAAATATATTTTTGAAATTGGAGAATGAATTCATTACTTTTCTGTGTGCCGCAAGGTAGACCCATCGCCCAAACAAAACTTTTTTGTAAAGACAGAGTCAGAAATGACTGTCAAAAATAGCAAACACTTGACCAAAACAATAATATATTTTGTAATTTAAACTTTACATAAAACCATTAAAAAAGTTAAATCTTTTCATTCAAGAGTGAAGTAAATTTGAAATTGATTGAATGAATGAGTTACAAGTGAAAATAAATTACAATTGTTTTAGAAATGCAGGGAAAGTTCTCTGTATCATTGTCATCCTGCTCTCGCTTTGCAGTTTGGTTTCTGTGTGATTACCTGAGAATTCTGAAGCTGGCAAAATCCCACTGATAAACTCCAAGGTTGGAGCTGCAGACTATGTGGCGTCCATCAAACTGCAGGCGAGGCTGGAGGCTGATGCTGCGGTCCTCTGACACCGACAGTGTTTTTAAACACTTACAATTGATTTCATTCCCTAGAGGCCAGACCTGCAGAGTAAACACAGTGTTTGTGTTCTTATGGTGTTTTCCATCACAGCAGCTCAAAACAGGAGAGCTGCTTTTGTTTAACTTCATTTTATTTATTTTTTATTTTAATCCCCCAAGGCACGATATAAACCTACCTTAATTTCATACTTATCAGCACTTAAGAGGATATAGTCCCCAGGACTGTGCATCATAGATTCAACTTCACTTTGTTGCAGGATCACCTGAGAGGAAGAAAAACAACTTATTTTTTCTATATCATGCAGCTTAACGCAGGGTCAAGAGGTTAAGGGTTTTGTAAGACCTGTTGTGAAAGTAAAGTCAGGGCTTCCACTATGTACATTAAGTATTGTTAGCCCACGGCCACACAAACTTTGCTCCACCTGTTACCATGACAGTACATTATATAATATTCATCTTTGATATATGACCATCTCTGCTGAACTTGGCATGGCCCACAGCGCCATTACCAAAATGAATGGTAATGGCGCTGTCGGCCATGCCAAGCACTTTACTCTTTAATGTTGTCTAACAGGCCAATCAACAGAGAAGTGGGTTTACATTTCACATTAAATTAGTCCAAATTTACTTGCATACAGATGAGAATTTGACAGGAACCAGGCATAAAAACAGCACCATCCATTCAGTGAGCTGACCTTTGTTACCCACTCAGTGTGTCCAGTCAGAGTGTTGAGACAGGCACCAGCAGACAAGGCCCAGACCTTCACAGTGAAGTCTGCAGAACCACTGACAAGTACATCCAGTTCATCACTGTAGTCCACACTGAACACTGAGCACACACACAAACAATGGTTAGAATGTCAAACATAAAATAGGCATAAATACACACAATTAAACAATCTACTTATACAGATGGTTTCACTGTGTTTAGTTCATGTTTAATCCCTTTAATTTGTTCAACTGTTGAAGACTGTTGTTCGACATCTCCAACTTTTCATCTTACACTGACACATTACAAGTATCACTTCAATGTAATGCAATTACAATGCAAATGTGTTTGCAAGGCAACTAATGTATGCACTTGCTCACATTATAGTACTTTTTTAAAGGTGCACAAACTAATACTTTCGAATGTGAATAATGTTAGAAAGATCATGTGATCAACTTCTGCATCAGATTTTCCATCTGTAGTCTACAGCCTTTGCAGTAAAGAAGGTCAGTCTAGTGTTGTAATGTAATAAGTCAAGACAAATTCCTATTTAAACAAACCTGCTCCTGTATGGCCACGAAACTGCTGAATTTTAGCTCCAGTGCTCCACTCCCAGCATGCAATAGTGTTGTCAAAGGAGCCCGTCACTAGCTTCTGCTCATCAAACTTCACGGTGGCACAGGTGTGTGTCTGGATTCCATAAATGCATTGTCCAGTCCGCACATCCCATAATTTGGCCGAAAGGTCATCTGATCCTGAAAAAAGACATCTGTGAAAATTGTTATGATTTGACAAAGTGGTGCCTGTCCGACCTATGTCACAAAGCCAGCTCTCCAAACCTTTTCACATCCATGTCTGCATGGGTCGATGTATACTCTCTTCTGCATATAACCCATCACCATAGTGAGTTGGGGGTACCTCAAGCTAAGTGCCCGGGGAGCAGTGTGTGGGGATGGATTCGGAGAAAAGAAAATCTGCTTCCTTCCTTCCTTCCTTCCACTATTGCCCCTTAGTTAAAATTCACAAATCTTTAAGATCTGCTACTTAAGAATTATGAACTGGGCAGTAAAAACAATGTCATGTAAAAGAATTAGGTTCACTTTTTATTCATATCACATAACAAATTCTATTTTAGCTTTTAAATGATTTTGATTTTTTTATATTTACTGTACCCAATACAATTAAATCAATAAGTAACTGTAATTATTAAGCAGTTAAGTGATTAAAAATGATTCTAATAGCTTCATTAGCAAAACACAACTGTAATTGTTAAGAATAATGATGCACTTGGCTTCATTTGTCGCACACCAGAACAGCTGTACTGTACCTGTGCAGAGGAGGCCATCCTTATAGTAGAGGGCATAAACACGAGCACTGTGACCAATAAGAGATGACGTCTCAAAAGCCTCCTGATCCTTCAGCTGTGTCATTCGCAGTTTAGCCTTTAGGTACACCTTCTTCCAGTGTGTTGCATCCTGAATGGACTCATCAATCCTCCAGCCCAACTCCTGACACACATTCTGCCAAACCTCCGTGCATGAGCTTATTACCTGCAAAAAGATGGAAACTGATTAGGATATTCTCACCCTAACATTGACTTTTCCAAGTTATTCACAGGTTTGCTTTCTATACATATGCAAAAATTTGGATGTGAAGGAATATTAAAATCTCAAGATCTATTTTCAATATAGTTGTACAGTAGAGCTTGCGATTTTTCCTCAAAATCTGACCTTTTGCTTTGTCAAAGATGAACACTGACCTTTATCATATATTTTGTTCCCTTTTAGGCCACAACATATATATGTATATCAACCTCTTATCTCAGGAAAACAATTACTTTAGCCTCAGACTCACAGTCCCTCAATGCCCCTGAGGGTCTAGCAGATGTATAAATGATTGGAACTCACTTTATTCCATTCCTTGCAGACGAGGCAGCATGTGAGGAGTGTCTGGGGATCCAGCCAATGCAGCACATAGAAGGCCAGCTCCAGTGGAAGAAGGCGCAGGAAGTCCCGCTTGAGCAGTACTTCCAAACCATTGGAGAGATGGCGGAGCTGCGCCGCACCACTTAAAGAAATTAGGTGATCCAGAGACTGGTTGCGCTCTTGATCATTTAGAGTGATAAAAGTGGCAGAGACTGACTCCAGCCACCCTTCAAAGGCTGCCTTCTCCATGCGCACATGAGAGCGACCTGCTGCACCTGAAAGCAGAGTGGATGGTCTTACTACAAAACATGTATTAGCCCTGTTGTTTTCAGAACAGTATTAACAGTAAAGCCCAAGAAATGAAAATCATAAATCATGTAGCATTTTGTTGACATTGTGTTCGTAGTTTTTGTTTTATGTTGCGCTACATTAATTTGGAAATTTGTTACAAAACCATCTTAAACAGAGGTACATGCATTTTGTTCTTATTAGCGTTTAGAGGTGTCAATTACAAGTACAAACTGACTTGAATTAAATTAATTATATTGTTTACTGGTAAACATTAACATATTTTGTCATATTTCATATTAGTCAAGGGTGTCATTAGAAATGTATGCATTATGATTTTGTGTGAAAAATAAAAGTCCAAAAGTTTGACAGATCATAAAAAGCATGTTTTTATTTTCGTTGTGTGCTATCAGGGGCTACGTTTATTCTTGAACCAAACACTGAATTGGAAATGGTTATAGTTCCTTAAATTCAAATGTGTCTAAAAATATATTTGTGGGGAAATATTTGTTACTCTGGATTATTAACCAAAACTGCCAATTAATATATTTAAGTTAAAATATGGCATTGATTTCAGAAAAGCAATAAGTGTGTAAAATACCAGTATTGCAGTAAAAGTAAAATACTGTTATCGCAGTGTTTGACGTGATGGCAAACATTATACAGCAAACGAACCAAAGGCTTTCACGGCATGCATCGGTTAGTTATCGTCTGTGTGTTTTGACCTAAAATTAGCCACTGGCCTGGAATTTTTAACTTTATACGCTAAATTGATAAAACAATTGAAATACCCCAATACTACTTTCTAACATTGGATACTTGGTTTTATAAACTGTGCCTGCCTTCAAAACCATCTTAGCTGTGACGGTACTTAGCAATTCCTGAGCTAACGTTAGCAAAGCAACAAAAACAGTATGAGCTAGGAACGATACTGTCAATGGATTGACGTAGCGACTAGTCCGTGAACCTATGTTATAAAAGCAAAAAGACCACCAAAAAGATGTGTACAGGAAGTTTCCTTGTCATCACTTATCTGTTTAAGTTAACAGAATCGACGCTATTAGCTACTGTAAGCTAACATGTCTCCAAGAAAGTTTAAATTTTACAAGTAACATATGTGTGTAGCTATCGTTAGCCATAACATCAAATAGCAGTACTTTATTATGTTAGTCTTAGACTACATCACGTCTCTGTCGAAAGACTCCTCAGTACATATCCAAGGGTGAAACTTGTTGAGATACAACTGAGCAGCGGCAGCACATCAGCCGTGAAATACTGAGGCTTAATGAAAGCGTATATCTTATCAAACGATATATATTTACCCTGTGCAGCGTCTCGCAGGTTATAAATTCTGCTCTAAAATAAAGATGCATCGTCGAATGATGTAGCAGACAAGGCTCTGTGTACGATTTATTTATATATTTCAAACATTCATACTATTCTTAAAACATATATTTATTAAAATCATGTACCGGTTCAAGTTGTCTTGATTTGCCTTTTACATCTGCAGCGGTAAATCCAAATACCTGGATATAGTCTGTTACGCGCGGTTTCCCATGCTGCGTCCCATCTGACGGGGTGTAACATAGACACATATACGTAGAAGCCGCAAAAAGCCGTTTTTCCTCTTCAGTGAGACGTCATCGAGTCCGCCATCTTGGTATAGTAAGTCTCCCATTAAAATAAAGAACAATCCTTTAATAGGCTGAAGTAAAGAACAATTGTGATAAGTACAACTTTGTTTTCATATAAAATACACGACAATACAAAAAAGCATGCTTTAAACCAGGATTAATAATCCATAATGGTTCTGTTAGATCTTAATAGAATCTAATAGATTCTGTTAAGAATCTGTTAAGAATAGTGCACCTTTGGCACAACTGATTATGAGATACTTCCAGATATGTCAGATTTATTTCTGTTTACTCATGTTAAGTGCGAGAAACTTAATGTTTAGTGCTAGGTCTCGTTTTATTTACTTTTAATTTACATTTTTTAAACACGCTGTTTACTCATGTTAAGTGCGAGAAACGTAATGTTTAGTGCTTGGTCTCGTTTTATTTACTTAATACATTTTTTAAACACAAGTCTTTGGTTTTGATAAAATTAAATAATTTGGAAAGCTTAACATCAACATGTTTGCAACATGTGCTGTTATGCTAACAATATATATTAATTGTGTTCATTAATGAAGTCAGATGAAACCTACAAATGGTATTCAAATTATGAACAAAAAGGTAATTTAGTTATTGAGAATCACTTCTATCTATCTATCTATCTATCTATCTATCTATCTATCTATCTATCTATCACAACTATCTTTGGATAAAGAGAGTTGGATACCAAAGATGTTTTTCTCATATGTACGCAATTCCACTTTTCCAAGAAGCTTTTCAAAGACAGGTGTCTTGACCTTTGTCATCTAGGGTTGTAGTTGGGAGAGAGTCAGATCATTTTTCAGAATAAAATATCCATTAAACATAGCCTTAAAAAATGAAATAATATTTTATATTGAGCTAGATCATTCAGTTTCACAACTTTGTCCATACCCCTTAGAACACACAGAGGTTGTGTACGTGTTTGAGGTCCGGGTTCTCCCTGTACTGAGAGTGGCGATGTAGTAAACGTGGCAGCAGCTGACGTCATCACAGTGAGACGTAGCTTCATGCATGGGAGAAGTAAAAGCAGTTTGCAGGTGAGTTGTGATATTTTTTGACGATACCATTACACAATTACTTAAAAATGGAACACATTGGAGCACTTAACGTGAGCGCGCGTCTTGTCAATCTATGCTTTTGCAGCAGAGCGAGGTGATGCTTCGTTGTTGTGCGATACTAGCGGAAGTGAAGTCAGAGTTGTTAGACATTTATAACCATGTTTTAAATACATAAAAAATGATATTTCCAGCACGTGTTACTGACCTAAAAGGTGGTAAGTGCCTAACAGTCCTATCTTGGCTACAAGGCACAAATGGTCAAACTAGACAGGAAGAAGCGCATGCAACGTCCGAGAGCTTTAGCTCAAGTAAAGCTTCTCTACCAAAGTAATCCTGTACCACACAAAAAAAGTCTTAAGAAGCGTTGGAAATGTTACCATGTAAGAGTAAGTTACAATGTCAAAAAATCTATTAGCATTGGGTACTTTCCTAGTATAAGTTGATTAAAGGCATCTAAAATTCTAAAGAATGCCCGTTCTAGTTAAAGGTAAACAGAATTGACCTGACTCAAAAATCAATTTCGATGGTTTAATTAGAGACTTAAAGTCAAAATTTAAACACATGGTAAATGTTAACTCCACAAGCCGAACTTCAGAGTCGATTTTAGAACTTAATAATTGACCAAATAGAGTGTAAAATGACTTAATCTGGTTGAAAATACAAGCTAACTTCGAAATGACGTTGCAGTTTATGCCTACGTAGCAAGGCAAAAGCGCACAGGCAATCCAATTTCATGCGTAAATTCAAGGCAGTGGTCAAACTGTTGTGCATTTTTAAGCTGTTTGACTGACAAAAATGTAAAAAAGTCAAACTTTGAAATCCTAACAACTCTAACTTCCAAAATTACTGTGTATTTTCTATTGAAACAAACAAAAAAAATCAATAATTGAGAAATTATTTTTAAATAGCTGCTTTGTATATGCCCATTCACTGTGCTGGTTTGTTTTCCTCCATCATGTTCAAACCCCAGTCAAAGCTATCTATTAAAATATTGCTGTTGAAATGTAAGGTTCCATGGGGATTTGTGGGTATTATAATAACATGGCACGCACATACCTTCACTGCTCACATTGTTGTGTGTTCTGACTTAGACAAAGTTAAACAGTTGATATCATAAGTAAACAAAAATAATTATTGTACAAACAAACAGGAATTGAAGTGTAATCTTTAAGCTGTAAAGATGATGGAAGAAAGTGGGATTGAGACGACTCCCCCTGCCAGTCCTCAAACTGTTGCTGCATCAGTCAGTGCCTCATCCATGATCACAGGTGAGACATGATCATTGAAGATTTCACCTATCACCTTAATATTTTGCAAGATTTTGTATAAAAACTTTGTTTGTTTTTGGTTTTTATTCCAGGCCTGTCCAGTCCGCTGACTCTCCCAAGAACTGTCCCTCTTTCTGAATCCACTGCAATCCCTTATATTCCCTCTCCTGCTGTCTATAGCAGCCCTTTGCCTGCACCAGCACCACTGTCCTCTCAATGTCCCTCAACCTTCACCTCCACCTTCCCCCCCTCCATTCCTCCAGCTTTGCCCTCCCAAGCCACAGCCATTCAATCATCTCCGCCATTTGCTCCTAGCAGTATGGCTCCTCCCATTGGCCCACCCAAGTCCCGCTTCTCTATGAGTGCAGGTTATGACATCACAAGGGGTCATGCTGGACGAACACCACAGACACCTCTGATTCCAACATTCTCTACACCATCTCCTGTACCAGGTATGGACCACCCCTGCATCCTCCACATAGTCAATTTTTCTATTTCAAATTAAATCCATGGGCCAAGTCTGTGAGAGACTGGTGTGATCAAGAGCCTGTCACATGTAACAAATGTGATCTATGTCTCTTGTTGTTGCCTATTTGTATTATTGCATTTTTTAGGTATGATGTCCCAAACTGTTGTTCAGCAACAAGTCATGACTGGAGGGATCACTGCTGAATCCCCTATAACCTTCCCAGAGGAACAAGAGGATCCTAGAACGACTGTACAAATGGACACTGGAGGAGGAATCTGGGGCTTTTTCAAGGTAGTCTCATTAAAATCAAATAGTTTGACATAACTTTGCAATATTGTTGTGCATTTCACATTTTGACTGCATGATAAAAGCAACCAAATTTGCTGTAGTATTTGCTCAAATTACATGCAGCAATATGAATAATAATTGCACATCCAGACTCTGTGTGTACTTCTGTATTTCTCAGAAATAAAGTAGTACTGTTTAAAAGATGCAGCTGAAATCCTAGAAAATTTAATCATAAATAAAGCTGCAACAGAAAAAGAAAGGGAAAAGATTTTAGGTAATTATAATAAAATAGAAATAATAAAAGACAATACAAATAGAAAAACTAGAAAAAATGTGTAAATACCACCGTTAAACCAACCAATAGTAACAAATTTATGAAATGTGTATTTATGACACGGTCACTGTGTGTCTTCAGGGAGTAGCAGGAAATGCTGTGGTAAAAACTGTCCTGGACAAAACCAAGTACTCTGTAGAGTCTATGATCACCACTCTGGATCCTGGCATGGCTCCATACATCAGTAGGTCATTATACCTCTCCTTTGTTAAAGCCATTGTAATGATGTCAATATTGACTCTGTGTGGTGTGTCTTGTTTGTCCTTAGAATCTGGCGGTGACATTGACATAGTGGTAACTTCAGACAGGGAGAGTATTGTGGACGCAGTCAGAGATGCTTTTCAGGAGGTTTTTGGCATGGCCATGATCACTGGAGAGCCTGGACAGTCCAACATTGCTCCACAGCCTGTAGGCTACGCTGCTGGTGTCAAGGTGGGGTTCCACAAATACTGTACTAGTATCTTCACATGTTCAATTATACATACTCCGCATCAGTTGGACAAGACATGCAGCACAATTCTAAATACAAATCATTAATACTTGGATGTGTGTGTGTGTGTGTCCATGCATGCGTGCTTACATGCAGGGGGCTCAGGAGCGTATTGATGGTCTGCGTCGCTCAGGGGTGATCCACGAGAAGCAGCCTGTTGTTTCAATGGAAAGCTTCATCGCTGAACTGTTTCCTGAAAAGTAAGATGCCACGCACACATCAACCAACGCTGTCCAAAATATGCACTTGTTTTGTGAAGGAAGCTTTTGAACAGTAGCAAATGGCAAATTGACCGACCAATTAAGATAAGATAAACAAGATAACACATCATTATCACACTTATAGGACTGCTGCCTTGGTATTGTTGCATCACTCCTAGTCTGGTAATACTCTACAGACACACGGTATTGTATACAGTATAACAAGTACTGACAGGACAGTGGATATTTATCTTACAATATATAACTTATAAGTATATATTTTATACTATTTTTTTGTAAAAGCATTAAGAACTGAGTTCTGCCATCTAAAATCTAATTGCTGAGATTGTAGATGGCAGTGGACAAGAGACAGGGTGTGTTTTGCCAACTATTTGGAAAATTCTAACTGTTCCATAATGCTTTGTTCTGTCCAGGTGGTTCGACCTCAGCTGTCTGATATTGGAGGATCCTGGTCAAAACATCCGCATTGAGGTCTTCACTCAGGCAACTCCTGTGGATCTAGACTATATCCAACAGGTACTAAGATGACTCACTGCCCAAATGATCTGTTATCAGGTTACAACTAGGAAAAAATTGTGAAGTGTTGTTTTTATTCATTTACTACAGGCATGTAACCAAGTAAACATGGTCAATATTTAAGTAAATGAAAAGAACCATTAATTAATTAAACACATTAATTCTCAACAAGATTGAATGTTTTCCAGCCAATCTGGAACATTTTGTTACTTAATTTAAAAGTATAAATCCAGATATGGCTCTTTGATTTTTCCAGTTGTAATGCAGAGATATGAATCCTCTGTCCTGTATGAACAGGTGCAGCAGCTGTCATTAAAAAACATGGCCTTGACATTAGCAGTTATATGTTGTTAAGAATTATCTTCTGGTTCTCTACATTTGCTTTGAACACCTACAAAAGACACCTTTTGCCAAGTATAAAAGTGCAGGCTGAAAAACCTGATACTGAACCCTTAATGAGTGTTTTTGTGACGTGACCTCTCCAGGCCCAATCCTTAACTCCACCGGACTATAGCCTGCGATGGTCAGGCTTGATTGTTCCAGTGGGTGAAGTCCTGGAGCGCAGTCTGCCCAACATCAACAAAACAGACTGGCAACTAGCCATGACAGGAATGAGTCAGCGACAGATGATCCAAAACGCTGCCAAAGCCCTGGCTGGAATTTACAAACAGCGGCTGCCACGCAGGACTGTGTGAGGCTGTAGAGTTCTTCACACACTGACCTACTGGTGGACACATGGGGGACTACAGGTTGACACACAGGCAGAGTCTAACACAGAGGCTCCTCTTTGCTACTCTGACTGATAGTCAGTGAGTTCCTGCCATATGTACATTATTTTTACCATGTTTAGTGAGGCTACTTACCTACCTAACTCTGTGTGACTGGGATCTATGTAAAAAAAAATGGTAAAAAAGGTTATGTTTGTCCTGTAAATTGCTTCAGTGGTGTGTTTATGGACACTGCCTTACACCTGGTGTTTAATAATGTGCAACATTATTTGGGTCAACATTTCGTTATATTTTCTGTTTTACTCTGAAAAGGATTTTATGTTTACCTAATTGTATTATTTGAAAAAATAGTAGCAAAAACCAGAGTATTCCAGCTGCCGAGCTGTGGGCCATTTGGTTCTGTGCTGCAGAGAAGAAAAAAAAAAAAATCCTATTTGCATCTTAGTGATTTTGTAAGAGAATCTGAAAAGTTAAACATCTTTTGCACTCATAATATAGGCTATTATGAGTGCAATATATTATTACAATTTATTATTATATGTAATAATACAATGTAAAATAATATGTTTTCTATTTTTTCTCTATGTCCCAGAATGATCCAAAGCCTTGTGGTTGGTTACCTCTGGTTTAATACTTAAATATCTATTTGTAACCACATAGTACAAGAATGGTAAATCATGCTGGGTGGCAGCTTTGCTAGAAATTCCTGAAAGTGCCTGGACTTTCTTGTTGGACATCTTTCTGATATAGAATATTGTACAGTATATTGCTCATATGCAAATGTGGTTCTAGAATATCCTGGTTTTCTCCATTGGGTTATTCAAAATGGCAAGTAATATTTTGAAATTAACAGGTTGAGATTGTATTACTATCACAACCGTCCGTGATAGTCCCTTCTACAGAGTTAGAACTCCAAGATTTCTTCTATGTACTTAAATATTGCCGTTAACAATAATAGTAAATTATAGTAAAGTGTAGTAAAGTGTTTCAGCTTGCTGGGTAACCTTGGTTTTTTCGCTTAAACAGCGCCATAGTTGTGACAGGATCACATTTTTAAAAAAATTATGGAGAGTCATTTTGTCATAAATGTCATGTTTATATAATGGGCACACCTAACGTCCATGTTATTCCTGTGCCAAAACAGTACTGACTTCAACAGATGTGAGTTCACACTTGGTGAAGATTCCAAATGTACCTTCAGATATTGAATTTAACAGTAGCTTCTGTCATTTTTATTCATGTTCTTTTTCGTGTTACTGTAGTAAAACATTTTTAAAAACTAAAAACTTTAAAATCCTTCAAATGAGAATCCCCATTACAGTAGTAGAAGGTCACATTGCTACTAGCATGAAGGTCTGGGTTGACAAGGTTGAAGGCTGTTGTCCCAGTTTTAGCTTTAACTGAATTTTGAATTCCATTCCAATGGTTTTGAACATGTAAGTGGTACAAACACTACTCCCATAAAAGGACAAAGATTTTGTTTTCATTGACAAAGTTATTGAATGAAAATAAAAACAACTAGGGAATCAATGACTGTAAACCTAATCCTAACATTAGCAGGAGTCCCTTAATATACAAGTTTTGCTAACAGTGCTAACTAGAGCTGTTCATTAAAAAAGCATGGCCCAGAATTGAGAGGAGTTTAAAATTTTGTCTCATCTCAAATCCAACATTAAATTGAAAAAAGTGAACGTGATTCATTTGTTCATATGTCCTCTGGTCCAATGTATCTGTAGTATATTTGCAAATATTTGTATTTCTGAATTACTCATTGCCTCACAAACATAATTGTATTTGCTTACTTGGTGTCTCTTTATTCAGGTGTATTACAGAAAAATGGATGTTAGTCTTTTGTCATTTTCAAGTGTTATGGAATTGGGGTTTGTTGATTGAAACCAACTGTACATCCAGCTAATGCAAAAAAGGTGGTGATAACACCATACATACGGTCAATAAAGTACAATGTTTAAAAAAAGATGTGCTTCTTAGTGTCTTTACCTTCCAGAAAAGTCTGGCATTTTGTTTAATTAAAACTTGTTTTTACAACTAATGATATGGCTAATTAATATTACTGTCTTTGTTAACTTAACAATAACAGAAAACACCCAAATAGACCTGTAGAGAAACTACAATACTTTAATTTCTGTTACATATCCTACTTTCACATCTACTAGAGGTTGTGTACTCTTATCTTAATTCTCCAAATAAATAACTAAATAACAGATTTTGTTTTTTGCTTGATTGCATGTATTTGAAGAAGTAATATTACAAGTATGATGTGAATACAATTCATACATTTAAAACAGGTGGGATAAATGGACCACCAATATTATTTGAGTGTCTTTTCGTGGCACCTCTTACACATGTGACCTCATCCAGACTTGACAAAGTCACAGGTAAAAGAGAAAAAAGTAGTTTACAGTGGATAAAATATGTTAATTAAAAATAATGGCAACCCCCTTATTTATATACAATTGCATTTTTTCAAATAGTATATAGTTTTTAATGCATAACCTTATAGTAAAAGTCTGTATAACACAATGTTACACCTGTAAAAACTCACTTGAGCCTACCTTCTACAAATATTAAGCCTGACATAGATGTTAAAAAATCCTGCTGTAAACACATCACATAATATCACACAACTAAATTGTCAGTCTAATTTCGAACAGTTTAAGTCTTTATAAGTCCGTGTATGCCGAACACCTCTTGGTCTAAATAGCTAGTAACCAATCTGGATAGATTGGTTACTAGGTCTTTCACGCGCTTCCAGAACAGTCCAACAAAAATAGCCTCTCCGTTTCTCTATCATCCTGTTCTGAGCACATATCCATCAGATGCTCACTCTCTCTACTTTCTCATGCCTTTTGCCGCAGATTTTGTTTAAACTTGTGAACATCGAAGAAGCTGCATACGACTTCCGGAGCCTCCGGAAGCTTGATCCCGTATCTGCTCAATCTTAGGAATTTGCAATGAAAAACCACATTCTGTGATTGTACGCTCTCGTGTCGGAATGCGACATATCACATGAGACGTTTGAGATACGTTTATTATGGAACTTGTAGTTTTATGCAACAGGGACTCATAACTCCTAACGTTTATGTCCTATAAAAATGAACGTCATTTCCCAGAGTTCTGTGCGAGGTACCGCGAGATCTCCGAATATAGACCGACTATAGCGGAGAAGCACGGGGAGCAAAGAGCATCACAGGGAGGACCTGGAATCTGCGATTTCACAGATAAACACAGTCGCTTGGCCACATACTATCAGCCCCGACAGGAGTGGAGGAAAGATGGGCTCTCGATTAAAGTAAGGATGCTGCAGTGCTGCTTCAACATCGGCTTTTAGCCGCCAAATGCTGCCAACGTCAGTTTAGTTTCTTAGTTATTACATCTGCGCCAATGGAGAAGACACTAGACAGTGGGAGGCCCCAAACTTGTGACTTGATGAAACGCCGTTAGCTCTGCTCTGACGTTTAAAATACACTGTTATTTTGTTAGTTCCACGTGTCTAAATATTATTTTTTTGGGGGGGCTTAAACAAGAAGAGAAGTTAAGAACATGGAGCAATGTAAAAACGACGACAGTCGGTCTGTTTGTGCCAATTTTCCTGCAAATTACTGGCCTTTTACAGATATATGTGTGACAGCATGTCAAAATGAACTGTCATCGCGTTTCATTAAAAGTAGAGGCTGTGGAATGTTCAAAAACAAATAACCGTACAAAAGTAGTAATTTGAATTTTAAATGACCTACAAAAAAGGTAATGTGTCTAACTGATACGGGACTTTGCGCATCTTTTCTTTTTTTGAAAATGTACCCGTTGTTTAAGCAAACGTACAGGGGAGCAGTAGGACATGGGACTACTGTACATTCAATTAGTGCTTATGGCTCACGATAATAAAACGTCACTTTATTTCTCGTTGTGGTAAAGACTATCGTGAGAAGCACTGTTCGGTTGTTATGAAAGCTATATTTGCTTTGATGTAGCATTTGGGTGCCCGGGAAAAATAAAAGATATGCAGGAGCGACAGATAAGACTATGAAGATATTGTAAATGGTGAAAAAGTGGCTTTAATAGGTTAAAGACAAAGTTCAAACGTTGCATACAATTTTTTTTTTTTTACTGTGATAGATGAGCTGGGTACACATTGCAGTGTACTATGTAAGAGTGATATAAAAAGACTGCATCTGATCTTTCTGACGCACTGTTGTTTTTTAAAAGAATCCTGTGTCATTTCTCATGAACCAAATAGTATTTATTGTCTCGTTTCATGGGTTGAGAGTATCATTACACCACTAGTGGATACTCAACTTGAATATTTGTCACAGAATCCTCAACCATCAACCTCAAAACTAGACAAACTAGTTTTGTACAAGATCAGTGTCCTTAAATCTCATCTGATCTTAGGACTTTTATTTTGTTATTGCTACTTTGTTTTTAGGCTTTTTGTAGCTCGTATTGAACAGTAAAGTAAACTCTGGTAATGTTTGATTTAACGGTCGGGGGTTTATACTTCAGGGATGTATGTAAATTGGTCTCAAATACATACTGTTGTTGTAGTTATACAGCCACAACAATTGATTAGACACAGTAGGAAAGAAAAGCAGATCTGACCTGTAGCATGTCTAGCTTCTCTTGGACGTGAGCTTTAAAATGGTGACACAGCAGGTTTAATAGTTGGCTGCAGAATGCAGAGAAAAACGCTGTTTAGAAATGAAGACAGTGGATAGACAAAGCACGTAGGAGTTTAAGTTAACGTCTATTTTTTTTATGTACATTACCTTCACTGTAAGTGCTAACACCACATAAAGATAACAGTAAATTTATGGCATTTGTATATATTTTTTTAATACAGCCAACAGTGAATATTTGTTTTACAGTGGCTCCTGAGAGCAACTGAAATAAGAGTTTATTTCCCAAAATGAAATAGTTTGACTGCTGACATGAATGTGTTGGTGACTCATTATTGGGGATGTGACTAAAAACCACATGTCGCAAGAACATGCACGTAGAGTACTGTGGCTCTGCAGATTTTGGCACTTTCTAAGAATTAGCATTTGCTGAGGGTGGAACAAATCAGGCCGATTACCAAACAGGGATCTGTGGACAGTCTACAAATTGTGTTAGCAGAGTTAACTAGACTGTTACAAAAACTTTTGAAATAATTTAAACCATAAGAAGTGGATATTAATAACAAGGGTGTTGAAAGATCAAACACAGTAGAATATACTGCTAGATATAAAATATAAAATTACTATTTATTGTTAACCTAAACGATGTTTTAGACCAGCTGAGAGATAATAAGTTAATATTAGGACCTGAATTACTTTATGATGTCTTTGCCTGTGAACAATTCCAACAAAGTTGGTGTGGTCTGTTGCAGGGAGAGCCCAGAGTCGGTCTTTGAGGTCTATATGGAGGTGGTGCATCCCAGCTCACACAGTTCTGGTAAGTGTGTGAAATCTGAAGCTTTAGCTAATGCTGTACTGCAGGCATCACATGATTTACTACCATCATTAAAATGTGTCAAGTCTTTGTTATCTAAGTGAGTTTATTATCAATTTTAAATAAGCTTTTAAAACCAAAACTTTGCAACGGTGCCAATTTTTTAAATTAATAGACAAAACGATAAGTTGACTGTTCTGAGGGTGAGGCTGTAAAGGCATGTATTGCTGTTGCCAATGTCTCTCTGAGCTACGCTTCATACAAGCTTGGTCATGTAGTCAAAGTCGAGTCATGTCCAACGACTGGAGATACAGAGTGGTCCAAGTTGCTGCAAAGCCTCTGATGAAGAACTTTTGCCACTCGGACACAGGCAGCTTGTGCCATCTTACTACACGGAAAAACACCGCTTTTATGAAGCCACACAAGAAACCCCTGTTGGAGTCCAGTTACTGTGGTTGGTGTCTACTAGTCATGGCCTTGCCTGGTTGCCTGGTTGCCTGCTTTTTCATCTCATACAGAATTAACAATTGGAAGCTAGTTGGTCTGTGATTAAATGTTTCTGAAGTCTCTCAGTCTTCCAGGTGATTTTATCCAAAGTGTACAGGTCCAGGTTTCTTAAAAACCTTTCACCTCTCCTCAGGGAGACTTCTTCAGATTAGAAGAGTTCTAAACCAGCCTCCTGGATGACAGGATCTGTTTAGTACAGATAACTTCAAATCATTTAATGATGCCATTTCTTTCAGGGGCTGCAGTTCAGAAACAGTTTCCAGATGACTACACGGACCAGGTTTGAATTACTCTTTATAATTAAGTGATCAAAGAGTCTTCCCATATCCTGGTTGTACAACTCACTCGTTTATTTTAAACTATGCCCTAAAAATAATAACCTCTTTCCTCCACATTCATAACAGGAAACTCTTCAGACGCTGCCAAAGTTCTGCTTCCCCTTCAGCATGGATAGGTATGCACACACACACACACACACACACACACACACACATACACTTTCTGTTATAGAATAGATAGATGGATAAATAGAAATATCAACAGTAGTACCATTTCAATGAAAAACGTTAACATTCAGAACAGCATGAAACACATTTTAAAACCTCAATAAACATTTTCAATGCCCTAAATGAGTAAATTACAGTAAATATCCATTAAATGTTTTATAAGTTAATACAATAGCACTGTTGTTACAGATTACATTAGAAAACACATCCTAATATCCTTCACTTGTTTTCATTTATCATTATGGTTCAATATGTTTTAACAACTGTTAACCTAACGTGACCCAGTGTTAACGAAATAGTGGCTACAGTGCTGCTTTAACATGGAGCTCTAAACTGTTACTAACCAAACCCCAAAAACACATTATTTTTTTTTCATTTTTTCGTCTTCTTTTTTATAAGTTATACTTGTTTTTAATGCGTCATTTCCACATTTTGGCTTTGTTTTTAACAAATGACAAATACTGCATCTGTTGTGGGTTTTTGTAAACTTCAGGTTGAATTTGAAGAACTGTTAAGAACCTGATGGTTTTAATGATATCCTGATTCATAAAGCCAACAGTCTGGCATGAAGTAAATACTTCAAAGTAGATTCAGCGTGTGTGTACGGTCTCTTTCTGTCTTTGTCTCTCTCTTTATACTTTGCTCACTCAACCTCTCTGAACTGACAGCCTGACAGTCAACAATGTTGGACAGAACTTCACATTTGTGTTGACTGACATTGAAAGCAAACAGAGATTTGGCTTCTGTCGTTTGTCCTCCGGTGCACATACCTGCTACTGCATTCTCAGGTGAGTGTACTGTCTGTTCTGTGACCTTGCAGTAGTGGAATACTGTGAGGGATATAACCCTCTGTAGGGTACACAAGCTATTCAAATGAAAGAGTTAAAATAAATTCAATAAAACAATAAAATTATATATATATAGATAGATAGATAGATACATATGTGTATATACAGTACTTTTCTGTTATTTATGTCTCAAAGGCAGTTGTACTACTACTCCAGAGTGTACCATGATTTTTTGTTGTGTCCAAATACAATGACAGATAAAGGAACCTTGAACCTTGAACCCACATTCACAGTTATTGTTGTTTTCTCAGCTACCTGCCCTGGTTTGAGGTGTTTTACAAGCTACTTAATATCCTTGCAGATTACACCGTCAAAGGCCAGGTAAGGACTGTAATGTCACTCGGAACAAGGTTTAACATCTTTTATTTGGCATGTTTTGAAAGAACTTGGAAGAGTTCGTTATACTGCAGTAATTGAGCATAATATGCTCAATATGGTTTAAAGTCAATGTCCTCCATTACCGGTCCCTGGACCATTACCGGACAATGGGTCATTAAGCACCATTGTGCACAAAAACAAATGATGGATTTTAAGTAAGCACTATGTTTTATTCTGAAAAACTAGCAGATTTTCCCCCTAATTACAAACACACTTGTACTAAAAGCATCCAAGACTTTCAGTGGTGATGCGCTGAGTCCACATGCATTATGTGTTTTAGGAAATCCAGAGACAGGAGCTCCTTGTATCACTGCACACACTGCCTATCCCTGAGCCAGGAGTTCCTGTCCACCTTGGTGTGGTGAGTCCAAAACCTCAACATCAGAACTATTTTTGGATCAAAAATTGTAAATGTATGTTAACCACCCACTGCTAAAATGGAAATAAATGGAAATGTGCTGTAGCAGCTAAATGTAGTTGACAGTGATCAGTTCTCTTTAGAGCCTTCAACACACGACAGAAAATACACAAATCGTGATAGGTATGACAGAGCACCAATCAGAATTTTTTATTTACTTCATGACCCAAAACTGTACGTCAGGGTGAGTGTAAGCTCCTCACAGTGCCCTCCATCCAGGTCAAAGGTTAAAAAGATGTAATTTAAAGTTACTTTTGAACCATGTTTGAGGGAATATGCTGCTATTGGATAAAACCTTTAAAAACTAAAAACCTTAATGTCAGAACTGTGTATATATTGTTTTATTCCTCAATTTCAAATTTGATATCATATTTAGAGATTTTGGAGTGACATGCCCTGGTTACAATGACAAGGTTTTTCAATTGTCTTTGTAGCATTCCTTCTTCACTGTGCCTGACATCAGAGAGCTCCCCAGTATACCAGAGAATGTAAGTATTAAATAATATAAATACAACCTATTTAAAAATACAGTATGTGTAAGACATTACAGTGTAATCTAAGTAAGAGTTACTTATGCCGATTAGTAAACAAAAATGTAATGAAATATTCAATGTATTATTACTGCATGAGAACAGATATACATTTACAAATTTACAGAATTTGATTACATTTTATTTGTGAATGTAATTTTTTTTTAAATAAGTCATCAAACACCTACAAGCACCTGAACAATTAATACTATGGTTATGGCTCAAGTGTGAAATAAGTTCTTGGAGTTGTTGAGTTTCATGTCTTTATTTCTTAATGTGTTTGACTTTCACAGAGAAACCTAACTGAGTATTTTGTAGCAGTAGATGTCAATAACATGCTTCATCTGTATGCTAGCATGCTCTACGAACGTCGAATCCTCATCTGCTGTAGCAAATTAAGCACTGTAAGTAGGTTTCATCTCCTCTCTCCTCTTCCCAGCTCTACTCCTTTATCCACATTTATGTAGTTCACACTAGTGTTTCCCAGACCATTACCAATTACAGTAGTTTACAGTGAACATTGTAGTGAGGGTAAATGTGTGTCGTGTGTCTCTATTCTCAGACATTTGCTCTGTCATTAAGTCTCACTGCCTAGAACTGGACTTTTCAATTACAAGTTTTGTTTGATCAGAAATTCAGCTCTGTGGCTAATGAAACAGAAGGTAACTACAAAATCTATACGATGATTTAAATCATTTGAGGAGTGGATTGGTTTTAAAATAAGAAAAGTATTTCCTTGTTGTTGTTTTTTTGTCTGGGTTATAAATGTGATGCAGATTAAACACAGAGTAAACAGGCCAAATAAGTTTGCATTTCAGCTGACACTCAACAGTAGCAATAATCTCATATACAGCATAGTGATGGCAGTTTAAATAAAAAGTGATAAAAACTCACAGTTGCAGGGATTGGTTGAAATCCTGGGACCGACAGGTGCACGTAGGTCCTTGTAATATTGATTAGTATCAATATTAATTAGTACCTATGTGTAAAAAAAAAACCAGATGGGATGCTCGGTGCTTATACACAGTAAGCTCTGGTAAACGAAGAGACATGTCACGCTTTATCTTTCCACCTAATTATTCAGCAATAATTAAGATTTTGGTTAAGAAATTTGCTGCAAAACATTAACGCACAACAGTGTGTGTAAAGCAGGAAAGAGAAAACTATTAATTGTTTATATTTAATGTTATATCAATCATCACCTAATCTGTGAACAAGAAGGGTTTTAACACCATTTCATCTTGATTCATGTTGTAGTTAACAGCTTGTGTCCATGGATCAGCAGCCATGCTATATCCAATGCACTGGCAACATGTTTACATTCCTGTCCTTCCTCAACATCTCCTGGACTACTGCTGGTGAGTACTGTACTGTGGGTGTTAAGGATGGTGATATATACTGTATTTACTGGGTTTAGTTCAACAGAATACTCACCCAGTGAGCAGATGCTTAACTTTGGTGACACACTACATTTACACAACTATATATTATACTCTTGGTATAATTTTATTGTACTATTGTACTAGTATTTTACATTAGGCTTGTACATCATTATTTTTAAAATTCTCATGTGCATTGCAACAATGGCTGATTTGTATTTATTTTTTTGTAGCGCGCCAATGCCGTACCTTATAGGAGTCCATTCTAGCCTGATGGAGGTATGGGACTGTGATTAGGTTTTCAATACAGACATTCCATTTACACTGATGTAACATTGGCTTCCTCCATGACACTAACTCGTTGTCTCTTGTCATAGAAAGTGCGAGGAATGGCTCTGGATGATGTGGTCGTCCTGAATGTTGACACAAACACCCTGGAATCACCCTACGATGACCTCCAAAGCCTCCCCAGTGAAGTGGTGAGGAATAACTGTACACCAGACTGTCATCTAATTGTGTAACAAGTGAGGGTTGTAAATATGCTCAGAGAGAAAAGGGTGTCCTGACGTCTGTTGGCAATTGTTTCACAGGTTACATCTTTAAAAAACCGTCTGAAGAAAGTTTCAACAACAACAGGAGATGGCGTGGCTCAGGCATTTCTGAAGAGTCAGGTTGCGATGTTCGGCAGCTACCGGAATGCTTTGCAGTTTGACTCGGTTAGTACAGTGTATTACATACATGTTAAATCAAAATGTATGTGAAACTTTTCAGTTAAAGTTTAAATTAATAAAGAACAGACTGAAAACTCAGCCAATTTAATGAATTATTTGAAGCTATTTTTTTCTAAAACTCCAAACCATAGCACAGACTATAATTATAATAGTTCATTCCTAACAATGAAAAATTGTCAAATTGATGATGACTTAAAACCACTACTTACACTTACCATTTGTTTCTGTTTCATAAAAAATGTTATTCACTGATTTTATATAAATACAGTATGCTGTGGACTGAATGTTGCTTCATCTGAGGCCTTCAAAGGAACATTAGTCATTTTTCCAGTGTTTTTTTTTTTTTTGCTGACATACTGTAAGACTGGGCTTGTCTTCCTTTTTTCTAGGGAGAGCCTATAACTTTTAATGAAGACGCATTTGTGAGTCATGGTTCCAGCGCAATGAGACAGTTCCTGCAGAATGCCATTCAGCTGCAGCTCTTCAAACAGGTACACTGCTGTTGAAAATTATTATTGGAAAAGCGCAATTGATCATGATTAATCAAGGTAAATTAAAATCCCCAAATATGACAGAAAGGGAAAAACATGACAAAATGATAAAAGTCACCTATATTAACATAGTCATCGTGCTTTTTCAACACCTTAATGTATCTTGCCTTTGAGTCAGCCTGGTGGACAGGTTTATATTACACTGTAAAGAATCACATGGTGGCAGATTTCTTGTGTAACATATTACTTTCTTTATTTAACTTATTAAAAGGTGTAAAGAAAAATCATCTCTGTAACAAAATGGTCACTTAAACTAATAACGATGACATTCAAACAAACTCCTAAATATGACATAACTGAACCATAAACAGTTACAACAGTTGTATTCTAGCGCTTATTTTACACACTTCACATGATGTACTGTTTTCCTGGCCTGCAGTTAATCAGTACCACAGTGTAACTGCTAACACAGTGTAATGTTAACTGTCTACAGTTAGCATCTGGGTCGTTAGCCGCCACTCGTTCGTAGATTTTAACATTAGCATGGGATAACTTAAAGCTGAACCACTACTGTCGTTTACTCTGCTGTTGTACATTTCTCTTGTTGTAAAAACAGTTGAATCACTTATTTTAAAATATGTTTAGCATCGTTCGTCATGTTGATTTAGTGTTGACAGATTTGGCGGTTAGACGGTGTCTCCATTCAAGGTTATGTTACAACCTACAACACACCACAGTCACAGTATATTGCTTTAACAATTGTAAAATATCACTTTTATATGTCCACATGTGTTCATGGTTTCTGATTACCTTACCTGTGACATCTTAACACAACACCAGTCCTTTGCCGTTGTTTCTCTACATTACGGCTGCAGTTTGACGTCTCACTCTAATAGAGTGACAGGCGTCAGTCATCGGTACCTTATACACACAGCGTCCTCTGCTGGCCAGCTGCGGCAACACTTTTAGACCTAATCAGACAATACTCTTAAAACAAGTCTGACCTCACCTAAGATCTAAGGTAGGACCAATCAGAAGGATTCCCTGACGAATCTATTGGCTGAATAGACCCAAACCACAATGTTGTTGTTGGATGGTTCATTCTAAACAAGGAACTTATTGCAGATTTACACAGTTGCAGCAGCAGGTTTCTAATAAAAAGAGCAGTTGTTTCCGAGCATTGAGTTACAGACCAGACCCTGCTGCACATTATAAACCACAGTTGCTAATTATCTGTATTGTTTGAATGATGTCTGACAATTCAATCTAGACAAATTTGTGGGTTTTTTCATGCAGTTCATTGACGGACGTCTGGATCTGTTGAATTCAGGAGAGGGTTTCAGTGACGTCTTTGAGGAGGAGATCAACATGGGTGAATACGCAGGTGAGCCAAGAGTAATTTGGTCTTTTTATGTTGTTATTGTTGAATCAGCTCACCGACTAGGAATCAGTGAGTTCACCCATGGTTCCTGTATTTTTTGTAAATAAACTAATATTATAAGCTGGTGTTTATTGAACAGCATAGTTTATCCTCCTGGCTTCTGTGTCCCTCATGAACCTCCTGAGTCAGACAGTCACAGCTGTGAGTCTAAGTCTGGCAGTCTTTAATGTCCCAGACCTGGACAGTTTTATGTAATTATGTCTTTTGTCTCAGAGTATTGTCTTCTCCTCCAGGAAGGATGTCACACCTAGTGGTTCTCAGATATTATGTTGTAGCCAAGCATCGCTAGCATCACTGTTGGTGTTTGTATGTGGACACACTGGTTTTAGTGACAGTCCTAGAACCAGAAAAGAGCATATTTTTCAGTAGAATTAATTCTAATTAACAATTTCTCTAAACACTGACCTTTTATTTGGGTCAAGGTTTGCCAACATTTTTCATGGTAACTTTCCTGACTTATTCCTACAGGTAGTACCAAGACCTACCACCAGTGGCTCTCCACTGTAAAGGTAAGCCAATACAAATACCATCACAAACAAGTATGTTTCTTATGTACTGTGCGATAACGTTGCAGGGTATTTGTAAACAAAGTTTTAACACTTACAAAATTCTCACAATGACTTCATATGGTATATACACAATAATATGTTAAAAATGACTTCATATGGTATATACACAATAATGTGTTAAAAAAACTAAGTAATAGTATGAAATTACATGTAAATTGCATGTAACACATACCAGACCTTTTGTGTGAGTTTAATACAATATCCTGTTCATTTCCATTTGGCAGAGAGGAGGAGGGGCCATTTTCAACACTGTAAAGACCAAGGCTAATCCAGCCATGAAGACAGTTTATAAAATTGTAAGCGTGTCCCTGGGTTTCTTAACATGATTCAAAACAAAATAACATTTTGACAAACTATCTGTCACATCACTTTGTTAATTTGTTAATTTGTCTGGCAGGCCAAGGACCACGCGAAAATGCGTATTAAAGAAGTCAAGAGTCGGCTAAAGCAAAAAGTAAGTAGTGTAGCTTTTCTTCAACATTGCTAATGTTATTAACACTTTAGCACTAATGTCAACACCTCCACCTCTCTGTGCTGCCGTCTTTAGGAGCAGGTAGAAAACGGATATGCTCCGTCGGGGTCAGAGGTCATCGGTGACGACAGCCCAGCAGGTGTTGCCTTCTTCAATGAAGTGAGAAGACAGGGAGCGCTTCCAGCCTGGGAGGACCACCGGCCAATCACTGTGCATTTTGAACATGTAGGCAGAGATCTGAGCGAACCTGGTTTCACTGCTGTTGTTTTGGTTACCTTGGAGAAATGAGTGGAAATGTCAAACTAAAATAAATATCTCAGAGTCATGTGGTTGTGCTGCTCCTCCTGTTCATCCTTTTCCTGTTCCTCCTCAGGCTCGACCACTTATGTTGTTGAAGAGACCAAACAGCAACGTTACTCTGGACACCAAGAACGACCCGTAAGACCACCCACCCTGCACCACACCACCATTGACTTAAAATCTATAATCTATAAGGCCACATCCTCAACATACACAAATGGTAGTATAGTAATAAATACTAACTAAGTAATGAATACTAATGAAGTATATTATTTCTGTACCCTGATGGACTGCCTCCACAGGCCACAGCCGTACCACTCTCTCAAGGAGGTGGATTTAATGGAAGGGGACAACGCCAGTGCAGTGGAGACTCACACAGCCCCCCCAAGGCTGTTCAATGAAAAGTTGTCTAAGTGCAACTTGCTGGGTGAAGCCTTTGGCTGCCAGGAGGAGCCTGACAGTCAACCCTGCTCTCTGACAAAGAGTCTGGAGGACCTAAGGAACCCTAAAGACCCTGGAGCAGTTCAGGCCAAGTTCAACAGCAAGGTCAGATCCTTCTGTCTGGGTTATTTTAACAAATTGTTCTGTGTGACTCATTACAACATTACAACAGGCTGTTTTATTTCAGAAAGAGCATCAAGGATAAAAACTCTGCTGTGCTGACATCTGACGACTACAACTAAAAAGATTCTTTACAGCTCATTGTTATCATGATCCTCATGTTTCTTCTTCTTTGTCTTATTGTTCTCCATCGGTTACTGCATTTTCTTGTTCTTCATCTTTTTCTGCATCTTGTCCTTGTTTTCCATTTTTCTTAAGAACTTATCTTCTACATTTTTGAAAGTCAGCCTTCTGCTTTGTCAACGTGTTCTAAAAGATCTTCACCTTTCATAGACCTCTGTACTGACCTCATCATTCTTCTACAGCTCTGCTTCAGCAGCCTCACAGCTCAGTCCACACCTTTTGTCTGCTCTACAAACAAAATCTGAATTTGGCTTAAAACCTGCAGATGAAAGTTCTGACCCTCTCTGTGTCACAGTGTCGACAACATTACTAAAGTTAGTACCAATTTAACAACAGTTTTTATTTCTGGTGTTTGCAGCGGCTTGATTTGAGTGTCGGAGATCATTCACGAACATTCCCAGGTCTCAAACTAACCAATCCTTACAACAAGCTGTGGACGGACGGATATGATGACGCTGTGATTCCCGTTTCCACAAATCCTGTCTGGGATACTCGGCCATCCGTGAGACTTCCTGAACAGATGGTCTCCCTCACCACCAGACCTGAGAGTTCTATCCTGGGACCTGATCTTTCAGAGCCGTCCACTCTTGGCAACATAACCATCCCACGTCCCCAAGGGAGAAAGACGCCTGAGCCTGGAACAGTGCTGGTGACCCCAGGGGCCCAGACCAGCTGCAAGGCAGCCGCAGCTGGTGAAGGACAGCCTACTGTGGGGGGACAGGAGTTTAGACAAGCCCTGAGCATGTCCACCGACAGAGAACTGCTGAAGCCCCTTAATGTGTGTGAGGACGACCAGGACCTGATTAGTCTTCTGGATCCTCTAAAGGCCTCAGCCAAGACCAGTTCCTCGGTAAAATCAGTCAAACCAGAGGCAGGGGCCGACACGTCCTCCTCTTTCAGCACTCTTAGTTCCTACCCGCTGGGCATGTCTCCTTTCCCAGTTCACTCTCACATGTCTCTCAACCCATTTGTCCAGCCTCTACAGAACATTTTGCCTCAGACACATTACCCTGTGAACGTCAGTGGGAACCCCTTCAGTGCAGCCTGCAGGCCTCTGCCTGCTGCATACCTACATACTCTTCCCAAGCCTCAGACCTCAGCCACAAAACCAGGGATCTATGCTCAGCATTCCCCGGGAAGTTCAGCGCTGCCACTGAACTTTGGACTCCTCCAATCAGGGTTCCCCTCCACTGACGGCTCCCTCCCTCACTCCTCGGCCAACAGTCAGTTCCTTTCCAGCCTTGCCAGTACTCCGATCGTGTCCAGCTCGGCCGTGAAAACTCTGCCCAAGCCTCTGAGTGAACAGCAGGAGAGCCTGAAGCCTCAGGATCCATTTGATGACTTGCTGACTTTAGCTAAGCCAGCTCCAACCCAGAAAAGAAGTTGGGAGACATTTGACTGAAATCTGTTGTGATGCAGCCTCTGTTAATATGTCAATTTGTTAACGCCACTAATCACAGCCCACTCTGCTGTTACTGACACACAAGCTACAATACACTCGGCTATGCTTAACAACCTACCACTGTAAAACCTCCACAGCAAAGCAGCTCTCTCTGCTTCAAAACCAACAGAAGACGTTTTTAACCAAATGTCACATCATCACTGTTGGTGTAGTCAACGTGAGGAGTGAGGAAGTGATCAGTAATTTGGTTTTCACTTCCAAAACCCACTCTAACCATCTTGTGTTGACTGTTAACTGAGAACAACTTTATCAGTCTGCACCTTCAAGTGTGATGTGAAGCGCAATGAACAATCAGGCGTCTAAAAAATACAGACGAAGGTAGATGTTGAACACTGTAGTAAGCACTGTACCCGTACAAAAAAAAAAAAAGAATACAATTACTTTTGAATCCCTTTCATCATTAGGTATTTGGTCGAGCGAATGTCAGTAAGGTTTCTACCCTCTGTCTGTATTTTCTTGTTTTTCCTTTCTGTTTGAAGAGATCAGGACGTCCTCTCACTTACATTTAAACAATGCTAAATAGACCCAGTGTTTGCAGAGTTAGCTCGGCCTAGCAAGGTACCAACTCTGCTACTGCATCACTGACATGCAGCAGTTAATACTAGTGTACCTCTAGCACGCTGCTATTTTGCTGAGTGCTACCGCACAGCTAACCCACTAGATGCTAGCTCTATGTGCTAAATGTCCTTGGTGGTGTGCATTTCCCCTGTGTCGTGGAGAGTCGGTAATCGACCTTGAAAAAACCTTGTTCTCACTCTTGGTAAGGACAAAATGTTTTCCAATCTTTAATTATAGGACAGGGTCAGGAGACTTTTAAAGCTGTTCTCCAACCTTTAACACTATGAACCACCACCAAAGAACATCCAAGTACTACCAGTACGACCAAGACTAAAATACAACAGCACAGACCAACCTGTTCAACTAAACCAGGGGTCTCAAACTCAAATAAGTTGTTCAATGCAGAAACGAATATTTTCTTATTCTTAAATGAATGGCAAAATAATTTTAAATAATAAAGAATTACATTTAAATCAAGAGAAAAGCAAATGAAATTTACAGAACGTATTGCTGACATGGAGTCGTGGGGTGGGGCATAGAATGGCTGGAAGTTTAAGACCCCTGACCTAATTTTTTAATCAATTGTAGCCACTGAGCAAGTGAGTGCAGAACAAATGTTTTTCACGCCCACACCACTCATATTGCTCAACTGAGTTACACCCAATAAAATGTGTATTTTTTTTCTCCTTCTTCTTTGACTTATTAAATGTTGTTCTTCAGGAAGAAGGACCAAAGTGGTACAGCGCCACCATTCACATATCAATAGTAAATATAATGTGTTAGTAGAGCAGGGAGTCTGCTCACCTGTGCACCACTGCCCCCTGTGGCAGAGATCTGAATGAGTGTAAGATTCACATGCTTTCATTTCTCTGTCTGTTCACCATCTAACTGTAATCTACACTTTTTACTACGTTCACTCTAAGGACGGACGAGAACCTTCACACACATCATTCATTGTGTAATCTCAAACACCACTTGGCTTTTTACTACGTATATTACAATAAAGGACAATAGATGTTAGCAAAATCTAGAACAGAGGTGCTCAACCACTGGGTCGTGGATCAGTAGTGTGCTATAGACAATAGATAAATCACATAATATTAGCAATTTTTTTTAATTTTGTAAAATAACCAGATTCTTTCCCTGTTACCAATGCCTGGACACATCAAGAATCCTACAAAATAAAAGTCTTTTGGAGAGCTTTAAAAATAGGGAAAAGTTTCACAGGAGAGATAGAAAACAAGGTTTTGATTTCCAAAATAAAAAATGTTGCATTTACATCCCTAAATTCCAGGTTTACCCCGACCGGTGATTCCCATGTGCCAAAACTGCTCTTTATTTCATTCAGTGTTTTGGCGAGTTTTCTTTTCATGCACTTTATATTTATTGTAGAATGGGTTGTATGATTTTGTTGAGTGTTTTTGTTGCATTTTGACATCCAGTGTGTGAGAACATTGTCCAACATCACAGCTGTGAAGTATATGAGCCTATAGTTTAACAAACAGCACCATTTGGCTAATCTTAATCCAAAAGGTCGATTTTTAAATTAAAAAAAATGTTTTAAAAATCCTGAAAAACTGCTGTTATCATCCAAAAGGTCGATTTTTAAATTAAAATTTATTTTTTTTAAATCCTGAAAACTGCTGTTATTATCGAACAAAGAAAATACAACTACAGATCAGTGGAATTCCCCTACTATGGCGACTATAATAAAAAGAAAATAAATTAAATTAAAATGGCCATAATGCACCCCAACAATGGCTTTACGTACCTTCTAAGGGGCATGCACCTTACTTTGGGAATCACTACTCTAGGACAACAAGGGGAGTTCATCTTACAGATGGAGATGAGCTTCTTCATCCTCAGGTTAGAGTGTACAAACTAACTATGAATGAATGGCGTTAGGGTTAGTGATCATGTGACCTTAAACTGGAGCTGATGACCTCGGCCTTACTCTACAGAACTATTTAAATGTCACTGCATGGCTCTGACATATACAACTACTTTGAATTGACTAGCATGTGCTTTAGTTTCACTCACCGCTCCACCATATAAATACAGCACATTTGTTTTATGATTAGGTTGAATCTCATCAACTCTTTCAGACTGTGTTGTGCATAATACTTTGAAACACTGTATTTTTAAAAAGATCCTGCTGTCGGTGTGATGATAATTCTGCCTGTAATATAATCCACATTTGTATATATATTTCAACCAGAGTTTAAATAAATACATAAAATGTGTTGGGTCTCCACTGTTTCTTTTACCACTTTCTCTAATACAAACATTAGTCAAAATGTTCTAAGACAGATTTTGAAATGTGTCTTGATTTTAATCAAACATTTTAAGACATTTGACTAGTTTTATTGTTAAATCTCTCAGGTGTTGAGCTGTGTTTAAGCAGCTTTTTCAACCCCTAAAAATGTATCAATTTTAAAACAATACCAAATGCCACATTTTAAGCCTGTGTTTAAGCAGCTTTTTCAACCCCTTTTAAGCCAACATTTTAAGCCAAATTTAATCTCAAACAGTTTGAGATTATGATCAAACTGTTTCCCGACTTTTTTGAACAAATTTTTACATTCGGCAAAACCTCGTGGTGCACCACCAAACACAACATGTCAAAAATTGTATACTTCATGAAATATAATGTTTTTCTAGTTTAAATCGACTGACTGTGAAACCTGGGCCTGTTTAGTTGAACACAACTCAGATTTACTCACAGGAATTGAAGAGACACACGAAGATCTTCATCAGCGGAGTCCCTCTTTTTCTAGTTTTATAGCCATCTGCTGCCACTTAGTGGAAGAGTATTTAACTGCTCTGCCTGTCACAATCACATAGATAAAGGAAGACAAATAATTTGCAGTAAATAAATAACAGTTTTCAGACCAAGTGAAACTGGATAATTTTCCACAACACACCTGATGATCTCTCACGGACACGTATGTCCCGCGGACAGAGGTTGGGAATCACTGTCTTCGATGAAGCAAACAAACAGTTTAATGGTGACTTAATGATCCGGTCACCTCTGCTTCTGTACTGTGTGGGAATAACAATAGATTCTGTTGATTGTCCACTGTTGATGAATGTTCCTCCTGCTGGTTGGCTGAAGTTGAATTCACCGGCCAATCATACAGGCCGACTCTCAAAATCAGCAGAGCTCGTCTCAGGCTTTATTCCCCTGTTGAACCTACATACTTGAGAGCCAAGGGTTTAAACACAGTCTGACAAAAGTGGATGAAGAGTCAAGGTGAAGGGAGGCAGCGAAGGAAATGGAAACCAAGGTCTCTATAATATTACATGTTTTGTGTCTTTATTTAACAATACAAATTAAAAACGGACACACCCACAAAAAGGATGAACGGCCCATTCCTCAGTGCGATCTCCGGGGTCAGGGTCTCATACTGACATTCCACTGCAGATCTTGTTGTATTCTGGCAGCTGTTGGATTGGACCTGGAAGATGACAGTCAGAAGATGACATCCAATCATGAGCATGAACGATTTCCATGAAAATATGGTACTCTGGTTTTTCCTGTTGGTCACTACCACAGTTCTCTACAACATAACTGTATATTAATGTATTGCCATATATGAGTTATAAAAACACAGACAGATTTAGCAGTACTCAAAGTCCAGCTGCCTTTTTGGATTTTCTTAGATACCAATACTGATGATTTGTTAGCCGTTCTTACCTTAACAACACTTAATGAACACTACTGTTCTGTGCCAGACATTTGTTTCAAAGTTGAGCAAAATGTTCCATAATCTTTAAAGCAACATACCCACTGCTGCAATGGCGGGAGGCTTGTTGATGATGTATTTGGTGCACACATCCTTAATGGTCTTCACATCAATGGCCTAACCAGGTGTGAAGAAAAGTAGACAAAAAACTTCAAAACAAATCAGTTATTACACGTTTCAATTTAAAGAGATTAAAATTTGTTGTTAAAATTAATTCATTTTAACAGATTAATGTCTAAAGTTTTAGAAATCTCTTTCTGCTAATCAGTGTATATGAATATATAAGCATGCACACATATATTTTTATATAATAAATATAAACACACTAGTATATACACACATGCACATAAACATATACAGCCACATACATATTGTATATTTGTACATTATTAAGTACGCATATATACACAAACATATATTAACACATACAGAAATACACACTTTTTTACACACATATACTAAGTGATGGAAATAACCACTAAAAAAACAGACTGGATATTTAAAAGTAGCCAGAAATACTTCACCACTGGCTTCAACCTACATTAATCCTGGCTTCCAGCTCATGCAGAGGGATCCTGCGGCTGTAGCACAACATCTGACGCCCAATGTCTTCACAGATGGGAGTGGATCCTGCAGAAAGTGGACAAGTAGAGTTTTAAACCCCGCTGACAGTACACTCCTCTGACCACCAGGGCGGAGCCGGACCACTGGACGTGGACCGACACTGTCCTTACCATCCAGGTGCAGGAGCATGTTGGTCTTGAGGAGATTCTTAGCTCGCGCTAACTCGCTCTCCGTCACTTTCGTACATAGAGACATCCTGTGGGAGGAGAGGACGTTACAGCTCACCACGTTCACAAAGACTAAACCTAGACCTGCGTTAACTGGATCAACATGACCTCTACTGACATCACAGACTGGGTGTCTGTATGTCGTTCCACTGTGAACAACTGTACGTACCATTCCAGCTGAGTGAAGTGCATCATGTCATTGATGGTTCCTGGCTCACAGACCATGTAGAGCCCCCACAGGCCGGTGTCGGTGTAGCAGGTGTTGAAGGACTGGAAGCTGTGACACAGGTTTCCCTGACAGGCCATCTGTGCCAGTTTACTGGACAGATTCTGGACCACACGCAGGTAAGAAGACAGCAGTTAAACACACACTGAACAAACACACTGCTCCTATTTACACTGGGGCTATTAGACAATTAACTACATATAATATTTAGACTAAGATTCACAACAGTCCATTTTTAAGCCATAATTTCCCTCCAACAAATGTCCTTCTCCTTTTTATTAAATGTTACTTCCTGGGATCGTACTAATACGTGCAAAATTGCAAAAAAAATGTAATAAAAAAAAAAACAGCCCAAGAAAATAATTTTGACCTATTACTATTTACTCTTACTATTGTGACTCACCATGCCTCCACCAAAGGAGCGATCCCAGTTTCCAATGAGAGTGTTGGCCACCATGAGGGGGATGGTGTCTGGGTGGGGCCACCCCACCGCTTCTACAGCGATGGCAATATGAGCGAGGGGCATCTTATCATCGTTCACACGGATCTAAAGGAGAACGAGGCACAACGACGGGGTCTTTAGTCCAAGGTCAAAGGTCAAGAGGGTTTCATTGAACACTACTGTGTCTTACTGAGCACTCACCTCACTTCCACTGAAGAGGCAGGGGGGGAGAGCTGGAGCTCTGCCCTCACAGTGACCAGGAAGTTTTCCAAAGTGCTGCTTGGCTAAATCGATAAGCTCATCATGTGACACTCCTGGTCCAATACAGAGAAGAGTTATACAAGATGTTTAAATGGAGTGACATATAAGATCCCACGTCAGTCTACAACACACCTGTCCCATGGGAGAGCCCACGGGCCACATCTGACACACACTGCAGGAGGTTTAAACTGTAATACAACAGCTAGCATGTGTTGGTGTGTTGGATCATACTTTTGTAGTCAGATATAAACAGGCGAGAACACAGACATCTACCTGCTGTGGTTTGTTTAACAGCAATGTACTAATTTTTTTTTTAATAATATTTAGGATTTTAATATATCTGGTTTAATCATGAATAATCTTCAGAAGGACTGCCTTAAAAACAATTATAATATAATGTAAAAATAAGTACATTTATATTTGTATTTAATTCTCCAGTCATTCTGGAATTACTCCAGTTGCTTTAAAGCTCCTCATGCGAGATGAGCAGAAACAAACAAATAGTTGATGACAGCTCTGACCTCCAGCAGCAGCCAGCACTATTCTGGGGCCTTTGTAGTGAGTGGTGATGTACTCCACCAGGTCTCCTCTGTTGATGGTCCTGCATCACAAACCAAACATTGGTCACGAGAATAAACAAAATGAAGGTCTGGATCCAAATGTTGTTTCTTTAATCAGCTGACTGACGCATTAACACACTTCGTCATTTCAGCTGACTGACGCATTAACACACTTCATCATCGTCACTGACATCATTTTATTTACCTGATGTTCTCAGTGGGGCCCAGTATGGTCCTGCCCAGAGCTGTGGATCGATAAGCGGTTGCGTGGAGGAAATCAAAGACCACCTCCTGCAGGTTGGTCTCCACTTCCTGCATCTCTCTGAGGATAACGCCCCGCTCCCTCTCAATCTCTGCTTCACCCAGAGTACTGTTCTGGATGATATCAGCCAAAATCTCCACCGCTGATGACGGAGAGACAGAAAATACATTTAATAGCTTTTCATTATTAAACAATTGAGATCAAGGTAAAAACTTAAAATTTATATAAAAGTAAGAAAATCATGGGTTTCCATTTGCTTAATAAGCACAACCTCAGGCCATAGAAGGAACTACATGCTTAATGTTGACAAGCAACTAATGTAAGGCAAAGTGCACCTTCATAAAGGCTTACATGGTCTGTATCAGCTGAGGTGGTGTAAGAGCTACACTTCAAGGTCTCTTTATTTATTATTTGTATTTTGTAATTTGAAAAATGTTTGTTTCACTCTGACGTAGAAGGAGAACAGCTGCACTTGAGACATGAATAACGGAAAAATAAAATAAATATAACCAAACACAAACACAATATAATTAAAATGTCCAGAATACAGTGAAAACACAACATGTATATAAATATATACATATATATAATACTATATAAAAGTGTAAATATGTAAACCATGTGGTGAAAACAAACACATACTTGTCCATGACAGCAGCTCCTCTACACTGCTGTACTGTACTCTACCTTGAGGGAGATCTTTGGAGAACGCTTTGGCGTAGTACACAGTTTGCTCTCGGGATGTGTAGGCATTAAGATGAGCTCCCATGTTCTCAATCTCCAGCTCCAGATCCAGCTGAGACCTTTTCCTGGTGCCCTGTTATCCAAAAAAATTAAATAAAAATTAAATAAATAAATAAAAAACGTTAACACTAAATGTGAGGTAAATATACAGTTCATACTGTTATTATCTCACCTTAAATGCCATATGTTCGAGGAAATGTGCGGTGCCATTATTTCTCTCATTCTCATAGCGACTGCCAGCATCAATCCACAGGCCAACCTGGAAGCAGTGGGCAGAAAATGTAACCTTTTTAATTTGTCACAGTTTACTTCTGAAATCAAATTAATATTTTAGTAGGTAAAACTAAAATAGTAAAACTCACTCACACACACACACACACACAGAGATCACATACACAGTATATATATGTACATATAAATATATACATATATGTACACAAACATATGTACATAAAAGATATATACATATATGTACACACACATATGTACATAAAAATATATAAATATACACACTTTACTCATTCTAATGAGTATATGTTTCAGATAGAAACGTACCGTGCATGTGCTCAGCCCAGAATCCTCTGACGCCACTCGGAGTCCGTTTTCTAGAGTGGTCACCTTGGTCTCAGGAACATTCAGTAGGACCCGGTGGGCAGCTTCTGTAGCCACATTTCTGTGTCCAGCTAAAAGCTGCCGCAGAAGGCCCAGACATGTGAGGGTAGTGACACACTGTGGTCAGACAGCAGCACAGCCAGCGCTGCGTTTTTAAACTCGTAAATGTTGGTAATTATAAAGTAACACATCATCACATCAGATCATGTGTGGTTGGCTCTATCTAACGGACTAATGTCACAGCTGCCTGTTCGCATTAGACTCTGCTTTCTTAACATTGTACTGTTCGGTATTACCTTTCAATGAACCGAGAGGAAAACGTCACTTAAAACAAGACTGTTGTCACTCCTTACCCTCTTAGATGATAGATTCGTCTTCAGCCCTCGTAGAATGTTTCTCCCACAGAACTTGAAAAGCTGCGAGGACGCCGCCATATTGTTTATCTGTCTCACTGCGCACACGCGGTCCTCACCAGGGCAAACATTACGCATCAGCCAACCAGTAATAAGCCTGAATTAATCGTGTAAAAAAGTTACGTGTTACCCAAAGAGTTAACACTAATTAAAATTTAGTTGAATCAATCCAACAGGGTGGTTTAAAATACTTCGGCTGAACACTAGCAATAACCCACTCGACATGTTCCCAATAAGTGCTAGACCGAGTGCGATTCTCCGTCGCTATAGTCGCAACGTCAACGGCAGTCCGCCATCTTGGTTAAGTCACGTCCACTTTGTCAACAAATGCCCATAAACGTAAAAACTGTATTTTCCAGGGCACAAGACACAAACTTTGACATCCGTCTTATCTCTGTGAATAGTACAAAGTGATTACCGTTAGTTTTCCTAAAATTGTAATGACAATACCATAGATAGAGCCACAACAGAAGATTAGTAGACATTAAAAGTAAAGTATAAGAATGACAGTGTGTCAGAGAAGTGTGTAGTGGCTATACGAATGTATGTACAACAAGTCTATATAATATATATTAGCATATATAATCTAGGAATGTGCTAGTAAAGCAATATAGTTACCAACAAAGCAAAAACACAAAAGCTTAATTTGTTTCTTACAATTTTTTAAAGTAATTTGTAGACAGTTAACATACAACATACTGTTGGGAAGTTCCATCCCAACAATACAACACAGAAATTTGTAGACAGTTAACATACAACATACTTGAAGTTCCATCCCAACAATACAACATAGAAGAAGTTAAATAAAAGTAAATTTGACATTTATCTACAAAAAGCATTGAATACCAAACAGTGTGGGAGACATAACATAACAACTGTGATGTACTGAATAAAAAATACACTAAAATCTAAACCAAACAAAAGATACTGCTCAGTCAACGGTGATGGGTGGAAGCATTTAACTGCAAATGCATAACAGCCAAAAAAGAAAACTGTGCACACACATCTCTGGACATTCATTTATGTTTTTGACAAAAAGAAAAATCACAATATCTAGTTCAACAAATTAAAGCTTAGGGCATGTAAAAAATAAAAATAAACACACAGCCAAACAAGAAGAAGTTAATTAATGTAGGCAAATTTTTAGGCACCATTTGTAACCAGAAATGCTTGAGATGGTCAAACATTGCCATGAATTCCTAATCAACATAAATAAAACAAAAAATAACATGACTTTTTACATTTTTAACATATTAACCTTTTTTGTCCATTGCTTTTAAAATATGATGTAATATTAACATGTAAAAACGTCAGATATGTATCAGTAAAATATACAGGACAATAATATGGTGAGACGGGCAAACAGGATGTACTGCACCTCAGTAACTAACATCCCATTATGTACAAAGAAACATGATGTACAAGGTGTAAATCCATTCTAGACAGCTGAGCGTCTGGTTCTTCTCCGACATGGTACCACAGCAGGTTAGACTTTGTGTGACTGCTAGTGCTACGTGCTACATGATCTCTCTGTCCCTTTAGAGCACACATTAATGAGCAGTAATAATGTTATAAATAATAACACACCATAACACAGATATATTCTATGTTTATGCTTTGTTTACAACTTGCCATTATATGTTGCTGTCAGAATAATAGATAC